TTAAAACGACAAATTAAGCGAAAGAAAGGAATAATACTCTCATTTACGAAATTGCAACTTAGTACAGTTATATTATGGAAACACTCGCCGTAGGCCGTCGTGCTTTTGACGTCGATAATATTTCAAACAGACTGCTAAAATGCACTGACAAGCCCTTTATTTGATATTATGGTTTTATTTAACACAACCGATGGATTCAACCTTGCTTACGTTTAAGTTTGTATTGGACACCTCCTTTTGAGCTTCTGACTGTAGTTGTGCTTCTCGCCGTTATAGGCTGTAGCCGATGTAGGTGGAGCCTTTGTGGCGAGAACGCAATCACATGGCTGAGTTTGTATTGCCTCTTTAAAATATTACCACGAGGAAGAATATATGAGAATTACAAACATTCGACATAGAACAGCCATCACAAAACTCCGGATGAGTTAACACAAACTCCACACAAGCACATTCCTCTACAGTAAAGGATCTGCCAGTTTTGTAATCTAGATAATATTGATAATTAATGCCATTTTGTAGTTGACTGCACATTATATAGAAATGAGAGGGATTCCCTCTATACTTATGTAACAGATAAGTTCCCAAGCTTTAGACATTTAGACAGAATAGAAAAGTTCGAATTCCTCATGAAACTTGATAAACCATGTATCACTATCTTAATATGTTCGTAGTGTACGAATCGTACATCTTTAAATGCATCAAGAAGCGAGAAGAAGCTGAGCCTGTAAATAGTAGATCACATTAGTATGTATAGTTTGTAAGTATCATTGCTGTATTCGTTTTCTCTGTTTATCCACGACCTGTACTTAACTTGTTAGAGCAACAAACGTACAATAAATGTCATTCATTCATTTATGTATTTAATCCATCAGTTTCTTCGGTTGTTTTCTCTGCCTATGACCTTGGCCCCCTCCCAGTCTATCACACAGTTGTTTCTGGTAATGTGGTCTTGGTCAATATTGTTTGGAAATGCGTTCCCAAGCAAAACTCCAGTCAGAAGCTCTAAAAAAGGCGTCTGATAGACACCGAAACGTATTAAAGCAAGTCAGGACCTTTTTGTTGTGTTAAGGAGATCCCTATATGAGGGTCTGCATGCCCTTTTTCGTTAACCGTTATGGGCTAGTTTAATTTACCGTTAATCGTTGCCGACCCGCTCTAATTCAACGTTAAGCGTTATCAGTATATTCCTCGTAAAGCGTTATGGGTCGTTTCAATTCAACGTAAAACGTTATTTGTCATCCTGAATTCAGCGTTAAGCGTTAATGAATAATTCTTCGCTACGCCTAATTTATCAAAGTGCAGGAAAATGCGTCATTGAAGGTATAAAAATACAAAATTTCCCGGGGGAGAATTCCCCCGGACCCCCCTACATTGCTCGCGCCATTGGCGCTCGACTCGCGCTTCTGCGCTCGGTCCCTTCGGCTCTAGCCAGAACCAGTTTACCCTTCAATTTCCGGAGGTTTGCGGAGAGTTACAGAATTTTTTTAACGAATCCGTCAACCTTGACAGGCAAATTAACAAAAATCTTGAGTAAAATATGAAAACATCAGAAGGACCGACAAACACTCTCAACACCATGATTTGCCTCTCAAAATGCGGGAAATTGCGTTTTTGAAGGCTTAAAAATCCTAAATTTCCCGGGGGAGCATTCCCCCGGACCCCCCTAGATTAAATCCATCGGTAAAACTGGGCAGACTGAAAAATTGCAAGCTGGCCGAAGTCGACTCGGACACCCCGGTATTTGTGGACGCACTCGGGGACCAGGGCAGGTGGGAAACACAGGGAACACATACTTACATGTAAAGGTATACGTAATTTTGTCACTGATCACCATTTCTCACGAAGCGAGATACCAAATCCAGTGCAGCTCGAAAAAAAGCCTGTCAATTTACCGTTAAGCGTTGCCGGCCGTCCTGAATTTACCGTTAAGCGTTATCGGCCCTGCTGAATTTACCGTTAACCGTTGCCAGGACCCCCCCATGCAGACCCTCCTGTAACATCCTCCAGTCCAGATTAAGGCATACTAGTATGTCGTCCGTTGGATAAATAGCCGTCTATGCAGCATTACTAAATAGAATCAGTTATAACTTTTGGTAAAGCGAAAAGGCAACAAACTAACATCGATCGCTTCTCCCAAGGACATATATTATATATAAATGCCCTTGCGTCACTTATCCTGGAGCAGCCTTAGCCTCCTCTGCAGATTTCTAGCGGGGCAGAGTTTGTTTCTACGAGCGTTTATAGATCTAGCCTCTAACAGGCTTCGGGAAACGGCTTTAAAGAGTAGAAAGTGACCACCAATTAAAATAGAGAGATACGAGGAAGTTGGTCCGTACATTTTGCCGTGTGTACGACTCTCTAGCGGACCAACTCCCTCGGCATGTTATCTCTCTATTTGTTGGTCAATTTCTACTCTTTCCAGCCACCTCCCGAAGCCTGGTAGAGGCTCATAGATCTAGAACTGCGGCTTCTTTTATTTTCGAGGGGAGGGTCTTGCTCGGGATTAGACTGGTAGCTGTACCCATATTAGACTGGTAGCTGTACCCACGGAGAACCAAACCTCGCCCGCTAGAAGTCTGCAGAGGAGGCTAGAGCAGACTTGATCTGTGCCGTGATCCTTGACACACGGCCGTCTGGGAGATAATGACGACCAGCTTCCCCGATGACACCTGAGTGAAGAGACTTGAGGATCAAGTGTTGAAGGTCTGGACTTTCCCTGCTGAAGAATGGCAGATGTCCAAAGGTAGGGCGGTCAGCACGTGGGAAACATTCATTTCCTACCAGACGGGTCAACTTAACAGATGCCCTTCCGACATCTGCTTGGAGATAAGGATCATTGCTTTTCGGCCGCTTTCCGATGAACTTTTGGGTGCTCTCGGTTGGGTTAAGGCAGCCTATGGCCAACTATAATTAGTATTTCATACATATGGCTGTAACTTTTGATAGCTTGGTCGCATCACAACTTAACTTCACACAGTTCTAGTAGTACTTGAAACACATTGAATAAAGGTTATTTTGTTTTTACTACTTCTGAATTTTTGGGTTAAAAATCAACATTTTGGTTAAAAAAAGCTGTTTACTTCATGGCTTTACGCCCAAGCGGTAACAACACCTTTCATCATGATATTTTGCAAGTAGAAAGCCAACCCCCTATTTATTATTTTTGTTCGAGGCTATTTTGTTTTAAATGACAGTTACATTGTTTTTTTGGGCCAAAAACGACAGAAACGGCTATTTTTCTGTCATTTTTTGTTAAATAATCGCCACAGTTAAAAAATTTCGACTTATATGCAAAATAGCCTCGGACAATTTTGATAAAAAAGTGATAATACGTAAACATGGATTACTCTAAAGATGAATTATGTTGTTTTCAGCTGGGCGTAAAGCCGTTTAAGTCATACTCCGTGAATAAAATGCGTAACAACGCGGGTTTACAGGGGAAACATACAAATGACCGCCGGTAACACCGAATTCGAACACACGTTCTATTCGAATGACGTCATATCGAACATGGTGGAACATGATTCGGGTTCGAAACATGTTTGTGGCAATCGTGCAGACACACGGCGGAACTCGAACATGAATATCAGCCTAGGCCGCCTTAACCCAACCGAGGCTGTCTGTTGTCTCTTTATTTGAGGTACAACCTAAATTTTGGACCCGCGAGAAAAAATTTAAATTTCTTTCTTTTAACATCGAAGCTTCTTGAAAAAAATAGGAGTTTCCCCGGGGTAACGACTTACATATGGGGCAGTGTAAACCTTGGTCGTAAGTTCGATCCCCGGCACAGTATGTAAAAGTGTTATAGCATTTGGCAAGGGTTCCACGACCTCATACCTTCGAATAAATAATGTAAACATGTACGACTGACAAATTAAAAAAGCTTCTCATCGACAACGCAAATTTAATTAAGAGTTAATTTTTTAAATTTAACTTAATAGTACTATTTGCATAAATTGTATAGTTGATAATATTCTCCACCCAAAGAAATTGCGTTTCTTTCAAGTACCATATTTCACGAGTACAGATTTAAATCGTCTATGACCTCAATAACATCAAATTGTACTCAACAAAACCTGCGGATTCAAACGTTTTAAGCCATAGACTGTTTTATTCAATGGGAGGCAGTTGCCAGTGTCACAATGAGTGGGAAATAGCTTTTTGGCAAGAACGGGGCAGCAGTTTATCGTATTCACTCACTCACTCACGCACGCACCCACTCACTCAAGAACGCACTCACTCACTCACGCACTCACTCACTCCATATAACATTATAAATAGTATACGAATAGTAGGATGTAAATTAAACCGTACCCTCTAGCAGACTAGAAATAGCACCAGATTGTGCCCTTGCACCAGTTCGTTCTTACCATCCCAATACACCACCATCACCTACTCCGTGTATGATATACATCTTTGAATCGTCCTTTCGAGACTTCATGAACAACAGAAAACTTAATTTTCTCCATGAAAACTACCCGTTTAACGTTTCCGTATTTTTGTCCCTTTTACTAAAGCGAGAGCTAGTGATATCGATACTAGTTGGACCTAATTGATAAGCACTAAAACAAATCTTCAAACGACATTTATGAAATTCGATCTAATTTCATGCAAAACGTACGAATTGGTGCGAGGAAACCGACAGATCTCCTGAAAAACTGCTTTTAATCTAGAAACCTATAACTGTTGTCTGGAGCGCGTGACAGAGCGGCTAAAACGTTTTTCCATAGAGGCTCATAGCGATCGGTTTTTTAATAGCCGGTTTCCTCATACGAATTCGTATGCTTACATAAACTCCTTGCGGTTTTATGCCAATTTGTAAGTTGAGATGAAATAAAATTCATAATGAATTTCATAAAATTCGTGTGGATGCTGATAATTCCGTCGCACGATGGCAAACTGAATTCTTGGGGTAGTCTTGGATGTGTCGTACACCATTCTTGTAAATATGGAACAATTAAAAAAGTCTTAGATCCTTGTCGGTGGTCAGTTCTGTCACAGCCTGCTTGAAATTTCAAAATTGTACGCGTACGACCTATACGGCGAATGTGGCCGTTATTCTATGTACCCCTATAGATGAAACCTAGTCAAACATGGAGTCCACGTCGCTGATGTCCTCCAGACTGCCGCCGGTGTAGGTGGAGTTGTCGCTGAAGTCGTGCGACTCGTGGTAGATCTCGCTGATGAGCCGCTCGAACGCCGTGTCCACGTTCCTCCCCTCCCCGGCCGACGTCTCGGCAAACAGGATGTGACGTTTGTCTGCGAACTCGCGCCCCTCCTGTACGGATGGAAGACATTGAAACTTTACTGGCACAACAAAAGTACAGCGACTTTCGTAAGGTCCTTATGTAAACATGTAAACATACAGAAAGAAATGTGGGTACAACAAAAATGAACTACGTACAAAACAATAGATGAATCAACTTATACTACTTGATCTAAGGTCTAAACATTCTTTGATATAGTTACCTATTTGACATGAGCTAGCGGATCACAATTTTCGCGCTATGGGGATTTCGAGATGGAAATGACTCAATTCTGTCGGCGTATCGGCTTGTGATGATGATGATGATGATGAATGGTTTATGACATACAAATCCATCGCAGCCCGCAGGCTGAATTGCGGATTCCGATTACAAATATTTTTCAGAGCTCAAAATAAACATGGGTCAATTATCATATACATAAGTATAAAAAGAAATAACGTTTGAAATGGCGCCCTGCGGACGTCAAATGAACTGCAGCCGGCTCACCCACGAAAGTCAGTTCAGTTCACTGAGTTCGTTTGTTTCGTGGCGTGACTGACCTGTGTGGTGACAGCCCGGTTATGTCCCAGGTCGCCCTTGTGTGTCACGGTGTGTGTGTGTGTGTGTGTGTGTGTGTGTGTGTGTGTGTGTGTGTGTGTGTGTGTGTGTGTGTGTGTGTGTGTGTGTGTGTGTGTGTGTGTGTGTGTGTGTGTGTGTGTGACGTGACTGACCTGTGTAGTGACGGCCCGGTTGTGTCCCAGGTCGCCCTTGTTCCCCACCAGCATGATGACCACCTTGGAGTCCGCCTTCTCACGGACCTCCTTCAGGTGAGTCCGCGCATGCTCGAACGTCTCCTTTTTGGTGATGTCATACACCACCATCGCCCCGAGCGCGCCGGGACAGAAGGCACTGATCATCGGTCTGCGGAGGGAAGGGGCGATACATTATACATCCACGGGGGAGATCGGAGAACATTTGCCGTTCTACGATCTGGCCTCGGCCGTTTCAAATGGCAACGGCCGTATACGAGACGGACATTAGCCGCGGGGGGAGTTATTTCCATCCTCATATCCGGGATGCTTTTGTTATGGAAACTATAACTAGGATGTACTGGCCAGCTGACTGGTACATACAAAACAGTGTCTTGTTTTAGCGTATGCTAACTTATTTTCTAGTATTACAGAATTTTAAAACGTTCAAACATCATAATCAAGTCATAGAAATATTCTGTCCGTTATGTGTCTTTGAGAATATTTCAGTCAATTACATGTATGTTTAATTAAATTTTTGAGTATCGCAGAATTTTAAAACATTCAAACATCATAATCAAATCATCATGATCAGAGGAGGAGATTCAAATCATGGAAATATTCTGTCTGTTATGAGAATATTGCAGTTGATTACGTGTGTGAGAAAAAAGGAGAGAACTCAGGAAAGCAATTGAGGTGACGTACTTGACAAATAAACGGCAGTGCAGCGGTGGGACAGAAAAATTGAAAACAAGACGTTAACATTCACCTTACAAACAGTCACCTAGATAGTACACGTCTATAGTACCTTGCTGTATAATATAAAAGTGTGCAGTTAAAAAAAAGAAACAGCCTAATATTTCTTACATGTTTTGCATGTTATGATTTAAGCATTATTACAGTAGATCTATCCACCAGCATCCGCCGTGTAAATACGAGTATTCTTTACTTGTGTTACTGTAGCTGTTGTATTTTCTAAACTTACAAACATTGTGTTTCCTCATTTGTAGATTTAGAAGAACGTGTTGGTGCTGCCGTCCAAAGCAAATTCAAGTTGAATTTTATTTTATCACACAATGATCCTGATATGATGTTTTACTTAAAAAGCATTGTATGATTATCGTGCAATAAAGTTCTTGCCTGCCTTACCTGTACTTCTGTTGTCCTGACGTGTCCCACACCTGGGCCTTGACGATGCGTCCGTCCACCTTCGCCGTCTTGGACACGAACTCTATACCGATGGTGGGCTTCTGATCTTTATCAAATCTATTGACCAATAAAATAAACCAATTAAGTAATCAATTGTACGTTCTATGCTCAACGAATCTTCGTATCAGTATTCTAAAGACATTAGTTAAATCAAAGTGAAAAGTGGTATTCCCGTGCGGACCCTTCTGGGGCAAAACTGGATTGATTTTCAAAGTATTTTGTCTTTCTCTTGTAGTAAGTCGAATCAACCCAATCATAGCATACTGATCTCTGAGAGACAAATAATGCTGTGTCAGTGACGGATAACGGTTGCTTGTTTGTGTCGCACATGTAGGCTGGTACCCCGACCATAAAGGGACTCGATCTTCCACTAGCTTGTTTGGGGGGCTATTTCAAACGCATCAAGTATGAAATGATGACGACAATTCAGGATATTTCTTCTTTTGCCGCCCTGCAAATTGCAATGGATGCCCTCTCACCCCTGGTTTGGTGGTACCCCGCCTATGGAGACCACTTGTCTAGAGTAACCACTCTGTCACCGAGCAATTAAAAGAAATCGGAAGTTAGCTGACCTGTTATTGCCAAACCTGGCGGCCAGGCTAGTTTTCCCCACACCGGGGTCACCTGTCATGATGATCTTGAAGTTCTGCGAAGGTTCCTCCACTAGAAGGAGACAAGACATGTCAAATAGAGTAACAGGACTGCAGACAAGACAGACTGATTCTGAAATCATTTTTAAAAACTGAATTAATTTCTTGTTGCCAGGATATCTTCACTTTTTATTTTCATTTGGATTCTTAGCTGATCATTAGAAAATTAAGAAAGAGAGATTAGCTGGAAGATAAAAACTGTGCCTCACTGATGTCATACGACATGGTGATGGGGTCCATGGTCGCTGACACGTGACTTCCCGCCACACTGCTGACGTCAGACTTATCTGTGCACACACAGGGCAAATGTCATCAATTGTGATAGAAGCTCCTTGGTGAAAGGCAACCTTTTTCTCTTACACGCAGTTGAAATGTCTTAAAGATTTTTTTTTCAATTTACCCAGTGGATGACACAGAACATCCTTACCAAACCTCGTGTAGCAGAGCAAAGAAAGAAAGGAACTGAACAGGTAGATAGGATAGAGCGAACACACTTTTTTGCAACAAACCGTCTTGTTGGAAGTCTATCCTCTGCAATATCTCCTGCTCTCTCAACAAGTCCAAGTTTCCATACCGGAAGTAGTCACTAGCTGCCGGATATAGAGGCTCGGGGCACGTGACGGCTTTAACTCTAGAAATGAGAATAACGAACAACAAAAGTCATTCCCCAGTACAGCGCATGCGTAACGCGGTAATGTGGAATTGGCGAAGTCTATGTTTATGTAACACTTGCTCTATATACAGATTCCTTCCACTTTTACATCCTTTTATACTCCTTTCATTAATGTTGAATCTGATAGAACAAATTGTCCCCACCATGCCAACACGTGCCCCAGACAGACGGCCACAGATAGAGCTGAAACAGAACTCACCTGTCACACAAGGCAACGGCAGTCTGCAACGGGAAAAAGGGAAACATAGATTTGATCAATCGAGACTTCAGTATGCAACAGAATCAATGTACACTTTTGCCCTCTTTTAGATGTTGAATTACACCAAGAGCCTCTAAGTTATTAAAGATAAATACATAGACACGGGGGACAACACTAGAGTATTTGCCATCTGCCAGCATATCAGCAGAACGTACTTCAAGGGATGAATCATTACCTGTAGGAACGTGGGCTGGTGTTAAGGTATGAACCATTACCTGTAGAAACGTGGGCTGGTCCTCTTCCTTCAGGATCATCCCACTGTAAGCAACAACGCCGATCCCCTCGTCCATGCGCATGCGCAGTGACGCCATCTGTTTCATCAGTGCACGTAACTTGGAGTTCCTCTCTCTGCAAAAATACCAGGGTCAACATCGGGATGAAAATGTTACGCGGCCATATATCTGGCAAAGAATACTTAGTCCCGTCACACATTCAGAACCTATATAGATACTAGTAAGCAACATGGGCTATATTTGACGATAATGGTACCTATCCCATTCCTGTTTCAAAGGGGTTCCCTGTTTCAAAGGCTAGGACAGGCATGAGCTCAAGTGACCGCAATGACATATCTTTGAAAAAAAAGGTCTGAAAAGTGGTTTCTGCAATGCCCAGTGAAATCTGCGGTCATCCGTGTACGTGGTACCAGAACGCTCGATGTCACTTTTTGTCTAGGGGGCTAGTGGGTTGCCCTGTGTACTAAATGTACAAGACGTGCACCCCTAATTAATGCTCACCTGTCAATCTTGTCCGTCAGGTAGTCCTTCTTCTTCTGTAGAGTGGAGATGAGTGCGTCGATCTCCTCTACTGCGACGTCTTTGTGCTTCTTGGCATTCTCCTACACGTGCAAGAAATAAAGTCAGGTGACAGAATACTAGATCTAGGACTGATAAAGCGAACAGCATTCAGAGAATCGCACCTCTCCTAAAGATCTCTCACGCCGACAGTTGACGCAGTTTCAAAGAAAGACAAATCCCAAGCTGATCAGAATCAATCATTGCCTTATCAATAAAAACGCACATTGTTATGTTATCCAACCATTATGAATATCTCTCTCAACAGGCCGGTTGACAGTTGCAAGCAAGCAAAGCTAACAAGGCCGGCTACAACCACAAGTCACATGTTGCTCGTACCTCTAGCGCCTCACATTTGGTCTGCAGTTCCTTGATGAAGTCTTCTTGCTCATTGATGCTCTGCGCAAGCGCCTCGAGGCGGCTCCCCAGGTAATCCTGGCAGTGGCGAAGAAAACAAAAGGTGATGCACTCGGTGGTGATAGGAGAATTAAAGCTGCATTATGTAAAATTAGGATGATCCAAAAGTCATTTTCTGGTCATTTATTTACAAAGTAACTTAGTAAGTTGAATCAACCCTACTCCATTGCAAGTAAGTGTCATTCAGGAGGTGGAGGTGCCAAAATATTACAACATACGAGTGTAATTAAAAGCTGTAAACAGAGCTGTTAGTCGTGTTTGTTTACATCCTGGTATTTTATTATGAGGCAACAAAATGGTTGCACCTCGTGTGTCGTGTGGGCTGTTTTATTGACAACCATAAATGTGGCAGAAGTGTGAAATAATATCACAAATATTTTGAAAAGTAAATGACAATCACATTAAGATTTTTTCAATTGAAACATTTGGTGCAAAAATGTTTAAGCATTGTACTATAGTGTTAGTTATTATACACCGAAACTTTATATTGAACAGATACAAACCTTGAGTTCTTGATACTCGTCTGCGACTGCGCGGACCTGGTGGTCTGAGTGTTTCCCCACCAGCTTACACAGCGAGCAGATGACGCAAGCGCAGGTGGTGCAGTACAGGTTGGTCTTCTCCTCCTTGTGTTCCCCGCACATGAGCGTGTTGGGCAGACCCTGGCGGGGCAGGCCGACGTCCGTCAACTTGTGCTTCTTGAACCCTCGGCGGGAGTGGACGGACTTCAGACAGTCCTCACAGTACACCAGGTCACAGGACACGCACCTCTTCACCGCCTTGGCTGCCGGGATCAGCTCGCAGACTTCGCAGTCTCTGTCCGTCTCGATCTCCGCCTCTGCCTCCAGCTCCACGCCGCGGACGCGCGCGATGATCTTCTGCAGCGCGACGTTCGGCCTCAGACGGTCGATCCCGCGCTCCGAGTCGAACACGACTTCCTCCCGGCAGGTGGGACAGCGCAGCCGCTTCCTGACGTCTTCCTTCTCGTTCTTCTTGCCCTTGCGGGACACCAGGCACTGCTTGGCCAAGGCGTCCTCGATACACCTGGCGCACAGGCTGTGCTGACAGGGCAGCACCAGAGGGTCGGACGGTAACCTGTGGCACGCTGGGCACGAGAGCTCCTTTAAAAGGGCATCCATTATCTCTTGAAACTATATATTGTGATTTTGTCCTCTTAAAAATGTGACGAATTTGTCGCTGGTAACGATGAATGGGCTTAGTTTTCAGACTAGAGCTGAATCCAGATGACGCGCGTCCTTACCTATAAATAGAAAATAAACCTTATGTACAAAATGTGAAGTTTAAGGCTGGGGAAACGATCGTCCGTTGTGTGCAATGCTGTGTGGAAATACACCATTATCAGAATATACCGGCGACGAATAAACTGCACAAAAAAGTCGGGGAGGGCAATTGTGAAGTTTTCTGACCGGAAAACTTTACTGGTAGTCCTTGAGGTGGACGACAGTCACATAAGTCAGCCAGTCGGAAAACTTTGAAATTGTTCATCCCCAACATCTGCTTGGAGATGATTACGCCCAATCCCTTTTCTACCCCAAAAATGTACTTAAACGTACATGCACAATATCCACAAGAGGCGACAGCGTAGCAACACTATCGCGTGTACACATTATTTGTTACTGGTAACAGTCCCTTCGCCTTATGTACACGGACTAGTTTACATACGGCCTACCACCTAGACAAACTTGCTATCAACAGAGTGTCTTTTAATGACACCATAAACCCGGCCGTGTGGCGGAATGTCAACATCCAGCCAAAACACTGTGCGTGGGGAAGGGTGGGGGTATTTCACAGAAACATAGACGTTGTTCATATGTACTAATGTCACCACACTATGGCCAACATTCCGTTTCAAACGTTCTCCCTTCATCAAACCTTCATACCATATCGGGAGTGTTTACTTACGGATGTCGTAAGAAGGGCGTGTCTGCTAAACTGGATAGTTCACGTCACCTCTAGAATAACATCAACTGAAGCGTATGCCAAGTTGTTCCATGGTTGAAGGAAACTAGTACTTTGTTTGCATGTAACGTTATCTGAAGCCGCCATATTTACATGCACACGTGTTCCAAGAGAAGTTCAGACAACTGGAGACACATTTCCGGGAAAACTAATTCAATATGGTAAAAGACACTTGCAATTGAAAAGATGAATCTGGTAAATACAATGCAAGTATTCTGTTTCACCCAAAGCGATTTCAGGCTAGTAAAATTAGCCGGATATTTCAAGCCAATTTTCAGGTCATTTGTTGATAGTATAAGTTGAATCAATACTATCTAAATCAACATCTTGATATCTGTGAGGCAAAAAAGTGATGTCGCTGATGGAAAATGGTTGTTTTCTATCGTAGGCTGCAGCTGGTTCTGGCTATTTATTGGTGGCACCAAAAAATAAAGCGTGAAAGGACTCCTCGCATAGCTTGCTTTTGAACTATTTCGAACACGCTCACTATTTCGAACACTTTAAATGAAATGATGACCAAAATTGTATAAATGGTGAAATGTAAGTGTCAAATTCCCTGCACCAGAACATTTCTTGTTTCGCTGCCCTGAAATTGTTTTGGCTGCCTTTAAAGCCTCGTTACCAGCAGTGAGAACACACCTTTGTAACGCCCGAGTGACAAGACTGTATCAACAATGTTTCTAACGGAGGACCTCAGGCCTCGCCATAGGACCTGACTGGTGGTTTGGACGTGAATCATTTGGGGAAAAATGTCAGTCAATTTGGTGAGTTCACTGTGCAAAAATGGGATCGGTTTGATGAATTCTGAAACGATTTGATGTTGAAACCGATTCAATCTGTTCCCAATGTGAGCTGGACTGCTCAAACCGATTTAATCTTTTTCAATGTGAACTGGTCGTCATTTAAGCGTGACACCGTCACAGTGACTTCATTCCAAGAATCGCTTCCTCTAAGTGTGTATATCCTTGGTCTGTACATAGCACGAGTCATTCTCCTGAATGTGTTTTCCTACCCATGCAAGACCTCCATTGTTACTCAAGTAAATGGATAACAAGCAGAACGACTTTAGTTGTATGCCTATCCCTTCATGCTCTATCGCCAGAATAGTGAACCAAACTACGGCATACCCCTTTCCTACACCCCCTTATCAGTATCTACCATACCCCCTGGACCGTTTGACGTTTGAAATATCACAAATGACATTACCACAAAAGGATAGAGCAAAACAGTCGTACTCGAAAACAGTAGAACGTGACGACCCAAACCTTAAGGTAAATAATAAATTGTGGTAAAACCGGTTAGATGAGTTCCAGATTGTACACGCCTTGGGGTGGCTTGTCTGTCACTCTCTCCGGGTCGGTTCCCACATAATAGCACAACATACATGTATTATCCGCCGTAAAAACTAACAGACAAACTCTGTCAATCTCTCAGTTTTGCACACCCAAGAGCTGGTAGGTCGAATGAGAATTCTTAGGTTATCTCGAAGGTTGATGAAGCATAGCTTGACCCGAGAAAGACGACACTAATGTAGACAACTTAAACGTAGTATTATATAACATCTCTGCACACACCTACTGTAGGCAATACTGTGTGAAAAGGAAAACGTAATGCCCTAAGATCATACGAGCCGGTCACAGTACCTGTTCCAGTCACAGCTTTCGTCAACAGATTAAACTGTACGCCGAAAACACGAGTATTCGTTACAATCTCAACTCATGTCACCAACACATATTGATCACGACGACAAGATTTGTCTCCAAGTTTTGCATATCCGCGCCATGACATTGTGTTGTCAGTAATGGACTTTACATACCTGTGTAACCTCACACGAAGAGTAAGTCTCTGACCGTCACAGAAAGTTGCCCACTTGTACTACTAGGATGACATCGTGGCATATGTTGAGTCGGCGGTGACGTTATGCCGGCGATCCAGCTGTATTTCCGAGAAAATGAACGATGTTGTCACAGGATCTGCGTGATGTTCCTGTGAGTAAACGAACCGCTGGCAGCCTGTCATTTGTTGCTTCCACGGAAGGACAGACTTCCTTTCTTTCCCATGTCCCGTGCAGAACTGGTGGCTTTTATTTTAGTCTTTCGCGGAACCACTGGGCCTCTTCCTGCCGCCGCAACCGGCAGACCAGAAACTGTCTACACAATGCAAACAAGGGGAGGTTCGTTTCATCACACGGTGTGGTTCATCGAGGCGTGACATCGTACGATAAAACCTAAAATGTCGTTTATAACACTCATTCTTCTAGTTAACATGTTGACAGGCAGTAGATATGAGCAGAAGTGTTTGTTGGGGAGAAGTTCATTTTTTGTGACGATAAGAGATGGCCACACACAGGCAGGTATTTCCGCGCGAACCGTCCCCGACCCCACCTGTTGGTTCCGCCCTGCCAGGTGAGGTGGAGAGTGTTGGGGTTACTCAGCTGACCTTTCGGGCCGCTCTAAGGCAGTTACCGGGATCCCGGGAGCAAATATAGAACGTTGAAAGCATTCAATGCAATTTCAGGGCGACAAAAAATATTCGGGATGAGGAAATCTGCGTGATCAAGGAAGGACGTTGAAGCTCCTTGGTGTGATAATGACATTTACTGCCATTTCTTAGCACATGTTTTCGTCATCATTTCATACTTGAGGCGTTTCAAATAGCTTATAAAGCGTGAAAAGTCCCTTTATTTTTTGGTACCACAAACAGCTAGAACCAGCCCACGATACAAAGCAAGCAACCATTTTCCATCAGTGACATCACATTTTTGCCTTCCAGATGTCAGCATGCTTATGCTACTTCCCCCACTCTTCCCCTTCCTCAACTTTTCCCCTTGAGCTTCTTCAACCACCTTGGGTACACCATCACCGCATCAATCTCCCACCCCGCCGACAGGATGCGCGGGCGTGATTTATCTAAAATTTCAACATCTTTAAGTTTATAACAAGCTTTGTCTTTGTAGATTTTATTATAATAGAAAACAACTGTCTCAAATCAAAGAAAATTATCAGATAGATCGCCATATGGCAGGATTGAGCTCTAGGCGGTCCCAAGACGGACGGGTCGCGTAAGACATGTGGTCGTCTTGGGCATGCCGCCGAGGAAAATCGGCCTTTATGTCCGAGTGGTCGCCTGGCTGGCGAAGAACAATCGGCTTGCAGTTCAATTAAATTCCACAAGGGGACGCCTCACACTGGCTAAATGAAGCGTTCATTTTCGTGACGCTGACATGGCTGAAGAAGAGTGATGGATGTCACTCTAAACGTCCGGAAGTAATCTCCATAATTTATCCACTAGTGGAGTTTGATTTATCTTTGAGTACTGTGAGTTAAATTCTACCACGTCCGCGCCTTGGACTACTAGACAAGCCAACAATTTACATTCTTCCCCGATATACAGTCCAGATATAAAGGACAAAGGCCACCGACTAATATTAATGGCCATTGCTTTCTTTGGCCAATAGCTACAGCCTTGACACCGCAGGATCATGGCTAGGACGGGATACATTAGCCTCTACCAGGCTTCGGGAGCCTCTACCAGGCTTCGGGAGGCGGCTGGAAAGAGTAGAAATCGGCCAAATAGAGAAACTAGAGTTCCACGATCTCATACCTTCGCCAAATGATGTTAGCTTTTATGAATAAGAACTTATATACAATGTATTAATCCCCCTAATTATGCAAATAGGATCCGCAATTGCATGAATTATATCTGTTGATCATAATCTCCACCAACAGTCTTATTTTAACAAAGAAAGCCATTATAGCATTTCCTCATATATTATGCAAATGAGGTCCTTATTTGAATAAGTTATGTTAAATTATGTTCACCTTCACTAAACTTCAAACACCCCAAGTATAAAATTCCAGGCCACTATGCAATTATAACATTTTCTCATTAGTTATGCAAATTAAGTCTTCATTTGCATAATCGATATCTGCCTGTGTTTCTCTCGTTCTTAATAACATATGTCGCAAGCTTGAACTTCCTATCATGGAATGCAGCTGATTAATAGAATTTCCTCATTAATTATGCAAATTACATCCATATTTGCATAATTGTAATATCATTATGTCAAGCATTACTCAAGCTACCTACATACCAAAAATCATGATGATCCATCAATCGGTTCTTGAGTTATCCTCCTTTAAACATTTGTCCTTTTAAACCCCCCTGCAGTTCTAGAGAAATCAACTAGGGGGCCCAAACTCACGTCACTTCTTCCCCAGCACAAGAGCTACCTGCCATCCAAATTTCGTCACCCTAGCATGTCTGGATCATGAGATATCAAAACCGGAAGTTCAGCTGCAGTACCATGACAAGCCGCCAGGGGGCCCAAAATCTAATCAGTTCGAGCTCTCATCAAGCCCTACCCACCTACCAAATATCAAGATAATCCATCTAAGCTTTCTCGAGTTATGCTGTTGCATGACAGACAGACAGACAGACACACACACACACACACGGCCAGGAAAACATAACCTTCTCCAATTCTTGGCGAAGGTAATAATATGCCAGGGGAGTTTGTCTGCTGGGAGAAAACATTTTGCCGCGAAATGTTCTCTCAACGGACAGACTCCCATGGCATGCTTATCTCTCTATTTGGCAGATTTCTACTCTTTCCAGCCGCCTCCCGAAGCCTGGTAGAGGCTAGAGATACATCTCATTTTTAGGGGTTGGCCAGTTACATTCCGATTTCTACTATTTATTCAGCCTGCAAAGGAGTCCTGTGGAGACTAATTTTAACCTCCTTGGTAGGATCTGTTTGGAGATTTTATCATAGGGCCTCATAGGAGAGCAACCGGATCGGCTTCGCTTGGTTGGTATTTACTATTAATAAATTACGTACTGTGCAGTAACGTTAGTTCATGGCCGTCACAAATCTCCCCAAGTGGAGGTTTAGGCTTCAGGCTTTTTATCGGGCTCTCTTTTTTGTACTGGTTTATTTATTTATTTTTATTTTTTACGTCAGTCTTAATTTGGGTGACAAATGGTAAACTGCCTGTAAATTGCTGCTGCCTGCGGCCTGGCCAATCTGATACTGTCTTTGCAACCACCAAAAGATCTGCTTGGAGGTAAACAAATCTCTATCCTGGATCTGCTGTCTACATTTCGTCGGTAACGTCTTCCGTCAGGGGCTATGTTTTATCAACTATGATTTATAGAGTCATCCATGGACTTGACAATGTAGCTCATCAACAATGTGCTGAATATCGAGTCTGGTCGAGTCATTGAACCCTCTTGTTTTAATGTATGTAGCTTTCTAGGTCGTTCACCTCAAATTCGATCAGATTCGGTAAGCAACAGGGAATACAAATACAGTCTGCTGGAGTCATTGAACCCCCTTGTCAGCTTTCTAGGTCATCCACGGCCATTCACCCCAAATGCATTGGATCAGATGCAGTAAATGGGTGAGGGTAGATGTTACTTATTATAGTTTCATACAATGGCAAAATGTACCCTGTTGGGAGAAGAATTAGTATTTATCAGTGTTTTACAACTAACAAAGTTAAGTCGTTTTCATAAAATCGACATTAGTTTCTTTTACCATATCAAATTCACGTAAGTTGTGCCTTTTTTACTAGTAGTTCCGCTAGAGCAAACACCCCTATGCATCTCACGTGATGGTATGGCCCAGTAGGTCAGTCACGTTGCACGTAACGCGCTCAGATGGCTCGGTACAAACAGTTCCTCCGCCTCTGTCAGCAGTGGCCGCTGGACAGCACCAAGGAAGGCCGCGACATAGCCGTAGCCATTCGTCAGGGAGTTGCCAAAGCCTTCAAGGAGGGAGAGAATACACAGGTAGGGGATATTTACCGGGTTTTTACATTCGTCCTTCATGAGTAATATTCTGTCATTCAACTTACGCAACATTTTGGGATCTGTGGGAGGGGGGCGACTGGGAAAATAATGGGTTGCTTGTGTATGTACATCAGCTGAAGTAGGTCATCTGTCTGGCTGCATACGTAGGACGAGAAAACATACATTGTGTTCGATTTTAAACCTCCTTGTTTCTACAAAATGAGAAGTAAAAAATCTCACATCGTGTTTCCCTTTGCACTATGTAGCACACAAAAATACAACCTTCCAGGGAGTGAACTCCAGAAGTTTAATACACATGTTGTTGTTGTTTAATACACATGTAAATTATGTAAGGTTTACTTTGGTAGTTTTTGTCTGTCCTGCAATTCCGTTGCTTTCCCGCCAAGCTGAGGGCAGATGATACCATTATTTTTGCCATTGAACGCACGGAAACAAGGCCTTATTAAATGTGATTTCCTATATAATTTTTAATCTCAAATATCCACTTTTCAAAACTTCTTCTAGTTCTGCAGCAGAAAGTCACGGGTCTGCCTCCCAAATATCAAGGAGCTTTAAATCCTTGCAAATACTGTGGTATATCATGGAGTTAAAAGACTGTTTTTCTATCTCCATGGGTATATAAAGAAAAGGGATTGACTAGCTGAAGTTCCAACAACAGCTGTCAACAGTAAACAAACCATATCTTTGACCTCAAACAAACCCCATCTTGGATTAGCTCTTATTCCAACAACAGCTGTCAACAGTAAACATATTTGACCTCAATTTGTCATGTTTCCATCTACACTGGCCATGTGAGATCTAACCTCTGAAATCTGTCATAATAAAATGGGATTATGAACAAAGCTTTTACACCCTTCAGCTCAAAGTTCTACTTCTAGCCAGAAAGTCTCCAAACTGGACTGAATGTGAATGAAAGAAAAGGATTTTGAAAGAAATTAACTTGGGACCAGGGGACTAAACTTGTGTTCTGATTTTGGGACAGTCACTGTAGCTGTCTGACACAATGGGGACATCAGACGTGCTAACTACCATTTTTGAGGGTTGTTATGTCACGTCTCACCCCCTGGTATGGGCCTAGTGTTTGGGCTGTTCCATAATACTGGATACTAGTATGTCCATGGTCTGTTTTTCCACCACAGCACATTGACTGTAGTGTGCTGACCCAGAATGACCCACAAAAGTACCCACCCAACCCAAGGACCAGTGCAGGTTAGATGCGGGTAGGCATCAGAAATGCCTGCACAGCTTGTGCACTAATCTGCATATGCAGATGGTATTCCGAGTCCTGGAAATCCTTGAATAAATTATGCTAATCCTTAATCACAACAGTAGTATGCAAGGAAGACAATGTGCCTCTGTTATCTCCAGGTGAACCCTGTTGAATGCGATCGAGTCTACACCAGTTTGGACAGGCTGAACAAAGGACACTGGAAAAACAAGGTACAATTATACCTGTCATACTTCGTATGTGCCAGTACATTGTACATAACTGTATGTGACTTTTGTCAGACAATTTGCCCGGGGCTCTAGTTCTGATGTTCTGGTAATTTACTTGAGCACTGACCTTACTGTTTAAAGATGACACAGTATTTGTTGTTATTGACAGTACCCCAGAAGGAATCCCACCACCTTTACAGGACTGACTCTGGAAGACTACAAGCTAGTGCTGGCCTCAGGTAAGTTTGCATAAATGCTCCCATATATATATGGTGTCCCAGGGGGTCTGGTGATTCGGGTAATCTGAAGGTTGTAAGTTGGATTCCCCTGCAGGCCCCAGCGTTGTGTCCTTGAGAAAGGCAGTTTAAACCAGTTCGCTCACTTGTCTCGGGCGAAATGAGTGACTAGCTTTGGTTAGGGATGTCCTCTTGGATGGGACATAAAGCTGGGGGTCCCATGTTTTGGGTGTGTTATTTAGTCTGGCTGCATACACAGTACAGTGATGGTAATTCTAGGGCCGTCGAATTAAAGAGATTAAGGAATCCTGTACAGAGGAGGGACTTTAAATTTGTTTCCTCTTGAATGACACTTTTCTCAACCAAAATGGAGTTTCCAAAGTTTTCTTGTCAAGTCTCATCATTTTTTCAACTCTCAGTGACTCATCGTCTCATGTATGTTTCACATTCTGTGTTAAATGTGTCTCTCTTCCATCCACAGAGTCCTTGTCGGACATGCAAAAAACCAAGAAGTCTACCTGGCAGTCCATCAAGGAGAAATTCTCAGGCAAAGAAGACAGCAAGGAGGTCTAGGAAGTCTTGAGTGTTTCCTGAAATAGACTTTGGGAAGTAACAAAATTTGAGAGAAGGCACTTATAAGTGAAAGATTGAAGTGAGTGATTCAAAGTGGCAAGTTGTATTGTGAGGTTCTATTGTGCCTTTGATGATTTACTTGTGTGTCTGTAGGTTTTGAAGTAGAACAAAATTTACTACTGCACTAAATAATACTTATTATTAATAGCTGGTACTTTGTGAAGAACAGTTGAAGTGAATTATGGCAGTCAGGCCTAAGTTGCTGACTTTGGACTGTACCAACACCCTCTTTAAACTAAAGAGAAGCCCTGGTACCATCTACGCTGCTGTCGCTGACTCCCACGGCATCCAAGTTGACTCTGCTAAACTGGACTGTACCTTCCTGAAGAACTACAAGGAGCAGAGTCAGAGCTACTGTAACTTTGGCTGTATGAGTGGCATGTCCACCAAGGTGTGGTGGACTGAACTTGTCAAAAAGACACTCTTGGATGCCGGAGTCCCCAAATCCCCGGCCCTAGACGCTGTGGCCAAGCAGCTATTTGACGAGTTCAGTGGAGGTAAGCATTGGGAAGTCTATCCTCAGACCAAGGAAGCCCTGGAAGCCATTCGTGACAAGGGTGTGAAGCTGGGTGTAATCTCAAACTTTGACGAACGACTACAGGAGGTTTTGGCAGAACTGGACCTGTGTCGCCTCTTTGACTTTGTCTTGACATCAGTGGATGCTCAGGTAGCAAAACCAAACTGTCGGATTTTTCAGTTAGCCTTACAGTTGGCCGGTACAGCGCCATCTGAAACAGTCCACCTCGGTGACAACCTGGAGCTGGACGTCAGACCAGCACTGTGCATGGGCATGCACGCCATCTGGATCAACCGCGATAGTGTAGAAGTTCCACCAGAACTGCTGGAATATGAGGACTTTCACATGGTGTCCAACATAGAGGAAGTGGTTAAATGCATTAAGAAAAGGCGGGAAAAGCAGAAGCTGAGTGGTTAAAAACAATAACTCAAAATTCACTATTGTTCATGAATATACTCCCATGTTTATGAAATGATAGTGTTGGATCCCAAACACAATGTACACGTAAAAATCAGGTGAATCAACAGGTCCAATCAACCCTTTTTAAATGCACCCCAAACAGCTAAATGTGTTAAAATCCTTTCATTCTGGCAGTAAATATTGGTTACAAAGTGCAAGACAAAAGAGACAGCTTATAATCTTGCATGTACGTGTTTATGAACACAGGGTAGTAGTAAACAGTTAAGATGATAATAGTTAATTAAGCCTTTACTGATATTCCAGGGGGATGTAGGGAAAGTGTGAAATGGAGCAAATACACTGTGTTGTATTTTAAGGGGTATAATTTAGCGCCTGCTTCTTTATTCTAGTCCTTCATCAGAACGTAAATTTACTGCTCACACCTTTACTTACTACTTCCTTTTCATTGTATTTTGTGCTATTTGCAATCTACTTTGCTTTTTGCTTCATATTTATGTTCCATTTTGCACTTCCTGTACACCAGTGTCAAGGTGCCATTATTTACCTCTAATGCCGTCATGTGTACCCTTTGTGAAATGAGACTCACATGTGAGGCATGCACATGTATACTTGTACAACTGAAGTGAGCAATGGAAATTTGATCAAGGAGTTACTAGTAAGTACATGTGTGGGATCTGAGTGACAAACTTAAAGTATTAACCTTTGGGGGAAAATGACAGTAAGGTGTTTGATAGACCAGTCTTCTGGCATCATGTAGGTTATGGTATGTGTAAGAATATGGTGCTTAGTATGTAGGTCTACAATGAAATATCTACATTGTAGTGTATAGGGTAAAAGTGCAAGAGCTGCCAAGAAATGCAAGACTGTCACGTAACAAGTATTAGACTAATGTGGGCACTCCAGGATGTGTTATTAGCTACCTTACTAAATATGGTTGAAGGTGAAAGTGCTGAAATTGATAAAAATGATGTTTTGTGTATGAGCCTGGATAGAGCACAGAAAGAGCAGGAAGAGTGTTAAGTTTGGTATCGGGAGTCAATATCATATATGTTTCAGTTGTGTATGCATTATCATACCATGTTATGACTACTTACATGTACTACATTTTGACGGCCAGTTACATTTTATAACCTACATAATATCAGCCGTATATTTGTATGTTGGACCACTGCTGCTGTTCATGTCTGTGCCAATCATGTCAAGAAAGATGACAAACCATACTTTCCAAGGTTGGTCTTCTAAATAATGACAGCACCATTCACACTATAGTATACAGCCTGGCAGTTTTAATAAGCAACCACTGTCCAGAATCTCAAGTACTGGCACTTAATTTGTAACATCGTTATGTTTCCTTGAGGAAACAGATATTAGTAATTCAGGAAGCTACATGTATTAACTGTTACAGTGCTGGGATGATGATATATGCACAGTCTATAGATATCATTTCAATCCTAGCTTATTGCCTTTATGCGTTGTAGCATTATAAGTGGAGACTGTTCTGCTTTCACTTATACAACAACAACATGTATATGTGAAATTATCATATCAAGATGTTGATTGAAATAAAGGTTGAGGTTTGAAATACATGTAGTGTTATTTTAGTTATTAGGAGAGATGACATTGTGTCATCCATTTTTTGACAGATATATAGGCATATCAATTCTGTAGGTGCTGTACACCTAATATCTTGATTTCTTCTGCATTGCAGAGGATCCCTTCCCAAGACCTACCCACATGCCGAATTTAAATGTAGTCACAATTCATTGGTTAGGTTATCAGTCAGCAGTTGTGGAAGCATAGCACTAAGTTATGCTGACCACAAACATACAGAAACACACACAAACACACAGGCATGTTTTTATGGAGGAAGCTACCCATAATGCACCAGCCAAGCCCACCTGACCAGCAGGACCAGTAGGCTTGGTGACACTTCCGTCCGTTTCATCTGTGAACCTGAAGACGTGGACCTTATCTTCACCGTATGCAGGAATGATGGCCTCTATACTCCCGTCACCATCTATGTCTGCAGAGGAGATGCCACCTACAATACCTGTACTGCTCAGCAGGGGGCGCTTGTCGTAGGACCAGTCTGCAGGGTCGTCACTGCTGGGAACGAGAAGGTACGCGTGCCTGTCGTCGTCCCCAGATATCAGGATGGTTGGCTTTTTCAAATCACTAGTGTCGAGTGGAAAGATAGCTGAATAAGTGTCACGACCTTCGGATACAAGCCAAGACCCACAGTCACTTCAGAGTTATGGTAAAGTGGTTTAGAATTTCAGGTAGTATACTAGTAAATCATAACCTGAACAACATTTTTGTATTACCTGGCAAACCTCAGCGGTATGGCCATCCCTGGTGTCCCTTTGCCCTGCGTCATGTTTCCTGGGACAGAGAAGCCACTGGCGATAGTATGTCGTTCCCAGGTACCAGTCCGAAAATCGTCAGGAATTTCGTACACTCGGACGGTCCCATTCGTTTCACTGGGGAAAGAGTTATGCATCATTAAAAATGATTGCTTCAGGAAATATCAACTGGAACACCACTAGCATTGGGTAAGGGTCACTCGGTGAATAATATGTCCCTTACCTACTTGTTACCACCAGCAAGTCGTCTTTTCCATCTTTGTTCACGTCAGTCACCTGTCGGGAGAAGAAGAGAACATCAACTACACTACATGTACTTACATGTCGACGTCAAATTTTATGTGGAGAGTCCGACTGCATGACGAAATATGAAGAAGTCGAAACAGTGTTGAAACCGTAAAATATTGTTTTGTTTTAGCTGGGCTGAGGAAATTAAAGTATACTTGCCTGTAGGTGGCTCTGTAGTACGGATGAATAAGTGCCTCTAGACCACCTCCATCGCCAAAAATGTCTGTCCGATAATACATCGTGTTCCTGCAATGCTTTGAGCAGTCTAAAGGTCTTTTGAATTTGCTTTGTGGCCGATATCAAGGATACAATATGCGAAAATTTGTGGAGTGACGTACTGAAACATTCTTGCGATGTTCATGTAAGTTTCCCTACCTGAAGATCAAAGTACCGCTCGCCATCCTCTTCAATGGTTGCAGTTCTGATCAGAGTCGTGTCTGTCCAGATGTCTCCTGGGTCTTGGGGATGCAAGGTAAGATGTTTTTTTAATGCACTTGGCTTATCACTTGGCAAGTTGGATATCATGTATGCACGTAATCGCACTAAGAAAAACTCTAATTTCATGTACTTGCACAATAAATGTCATATGTTTATTCAAAGGCACCTTCTGTCCACACGACTCGCAACTTCCCGCCAAAATACTCCGGACAGAGGATCGCCAGTTTCTCTCCAGCTCCTGCAATGGTCAGTCGGACAGGCAAGGACAAGAACTCCGGACCCTGGATGACCACATGGGGTGACCAGTCGGGAGTTTGTAGCCCACCGGACTGTGGTTGCTCAAACCAAACTAGTTCACCTTGGAATGACGGAGGATCTGGTCGGAAAAAAAAATAATAAAAGAGGCAGATGTCAAAGAGTACTATAGCAAAAGATGCCATTCAAGATCCAAGTAATATAATTGCATTAGTAGTATGATTTTGATTCTTTCAAATCTTGACAATGTAAGAAATTGGGTGAAGGCAAACGGACTGGTGTTTGATATCATATTGATTATACAGACGGAAGACGGAAAAAGAATGGAAAGAATATTTCCTATCAAGATGTAGACAGAAAAATATGATAGACTTCATACTTGGAGGGATTAGAACAAATGAGAACCTCGCTACTACAGCATCCAACAGGTTGTCCCCATTCATGTCTACCCACTGTGCCGCTCGGGTGTAGGACCACAGCTGCCGCTGGGAGGCGCCGGAGATCAGCACTGGCTCACCTAGGGTGGGACCATAGCAGGGAAAAGAAACGAATATATATCAATAATCTTATCAACACTAAGAATTCCCTTGATGGTGTAATGATTAGGAATTTGTATTAGTCAAGTCAAGTCAAGTCAAAGCCTTTATTTTCCTTCGAATGCTTGTTCGGCGCATTAGTCATTTTGATTCAAACCGAAGTACGAGACATTGAAATGACAATAATGATGTCGTTATGATAATGGTTAGCTTGCCAGTTTAAATGTACTGAATATGGTAGGGTTAAAGTTTGATATGAACCTTTATACATGAGTATTTATCCATAACGGGCCTTCAATCTAACAATGTACATGTGAAGAACACGCGGTTTCATTGCACAAAGAGCTTGGTCAGCACAATCCCTATCAGCGCCCATCAAAGTCAAACAAACCATGGAAGGTTACCCGGTACCTTTGTCCCACTTCAAGTGTCAAGGTAATAAGTCATTCAATTCCAGGTGTAAAGTTCAAATATAAAGTTTGCCCTTTAGCAACTATCGCACCATGTGACTTGAACTAGATCTAATATAATGTACCTTTGAAATGACACTAGGGATTGGTACCTTCGCCGGATGTAGGCATTTTTCTCATCAGACCCATCTCATTACTTTAGACCAAATAAAGAGCAATGATCATGAATAACAGAATTGAGTACAGTATTGAGTATATCAGAACAAATATAGGCTACTGTTCAGGCCTACCTACCTACGTTACCCGGCCACCCCGGTATGAGTGCCACGGATCCATTGTTTTTGGGTGGGAAACGGCCGGAACAGACGCAAACCACTCCTGATTCAGCGAAAACCGTCTCTGTGACACAGGGGGTTGAGATACATTGTAAAAGAAACGAATACAAGCACTTGATTTAGTACTTGTTTGCCATCCCTATGCTTAAGGTAAACTGCCTTTGCAAACTTTAACCAGCTTTTGTAAAAGACAATGACACGGTATCTTAGTTCTCTGGTTGTCCATCGTTAACATGCAGTATATACACACAGTTCACTGTGGATCAAAGTGAAATTATACAAAGTAGCCAGACCTTAAACTTGCGATGGTATGAAGTATTTTGACGAAACGTATCAATTTTGTAGCATAATGCAAAATATGTGAAGACGCCAACTGTAATACCTGGCACTAAGCTGACTTCGTTTGGCCAGACAAAATCGTCACTGATCAGGGTAAGTTGTATTTTGTCTGGTTCGTTAATGGTCCTCCCGATATCATGTACACCCCAGACATGGTCGACGACGCCTGGCTGAGGGTTGAACGCGGACAGAAGCAGATCGTACACTTCATCAGAATCGGCGGACAGAGGTTCAACCGTGGGCCGCACCAAGGTGGAGAACGCCGGGACGTCCACGTTAAAGGTCCCCAGCTCACGGTAGTCTACACAGGACGTGTGGAGGGGTAGTAAGATGCATATGGCGATGAAGGAAAGCAGGTGTTGTAATGTGCGGAACATGACGAACATTTGCCAATCCACACCGCCCCGTAGTAATAACTAACAGAGAAGTGTTCAAAGGTTGCGATTATCTCTAGTGAGCTCGAGTGACAATGACTAAATCACACATCGGCCAAACTGTTAATGAGTAATGTATTGTTAACCACTCAAGATCACCCTGAGGTCACAGCCGGATTTCGACATGGTGTACTGTAGCAGGTGTATGTACGTCACCTTGCATCATCAGCGTTCTGTGGAATTAGACCTCCGTATTATTTATGAAAATTAAATCCTAATTGTGTACATCTCTGCCTAAGCTACATGCCAAAATCACGAAAATCCGTCGTTCCTTTCTTGGCTATATGCGTTGAAAGATTTTTCCAGAAACTCCCCCATAAGATCCAGAACAAGCTGCTAAGGGGACCAAACCCACAGCACTTGTCCCTGACTGACAAGAAAAGCTAGCTGCCGCCAAAATATCAAGACCATAGCGTATCTAGGACAAAATATAACCGGAATTTCTACTTCAGTACCAAGGTCAGCCTTATAAAATTATACTGACACAAAAATAAACACACGGACATACACACAGACATAAATTTTTGTGAAGAATATTCCAATGAAATAGGAAGGAATACTGCACTTTGGCCTAATTAGAAGAACAGTTTGCAAAAGATGCTTTAATACATGGCAACAAGTTCTAGTCTAGACATAAGCGTATGTTCAATATTTAAGTTTATTTGACTTAAAGGAGTAAGTTATTTGTATCATTACTCACCTATATGGACAAATATGATAGGAGGATGTACTCACAGAAGGGTACTGTACAATACATTATTGCTGTAAAGAAACTAGTCTAAGACATTAGGCACTTTAAGTGTACATGTATACTGTCCTGTCCTACCAAAATGTCACAATGTCACTGGAAAAGAATCTTTTATGAGTATCAGTATGTACATATATATACAATTTGATGGACATCCAGTAGTGGGGAATATTTCTACACATGAATGTACATGAAGTGCACAATGTATATACCATAGTACCATACAAGTTTTGATCTCCACAATTCATTATTCTCGTTCACAGACTTAGAAGGATACATTTCTAAATGACCAACACAAAGGGTACAGATACTGTTAAGGATACAAAATGCAGATTCCACATTATGGCACTATTTCATATATTATTTTTTATTTGATTAAAAGGTACAATGTTGCCCATCCCTGTCCACTGTCCTTTTCCCCAACCCTTTTGACCACAACCAGGTAGGTACCATTTGGAGTGATGAAAGTAAAGTGCCTTTCCCAATGCCAACTTTTATGAAATACTTGTATCACAATGTTTGTTTTTCCCTAATACAAATGTACAATTAACAAGAAGTTCCTATCTTTTGGCAAAAGTGAAATAAAACGATTGCCATATCCATGAATATTATTACAAGCAGATGTTTAATACCAATGCTTTCTTTCTCTGTTACCGATTCGTAGTGGAATAAATGAAGTCAACAACTTAAAAACATATAGTCGGAGCCAAAGGAAGAACAATACTAGTAATCAAACGATCATAACTGTCTTTTGTGCCATGAGATGGAGTTTATTATGAATATTGTCTGAACACTGTCTGTCAAAAATTAACCCCCATATGTACATGTAATTGGAGTAAATTCTCCACATGGACCCCATTACTATGTCTAAGACTCAGTACAGATATTGCATCATACCTACAATTGCCTCAAAATTTGTTTGCAACATGTGAAATTCCACAGAAATTACAGAAAACGTGTTCCCCCGACATAATGGCTTTATTCAAAAATATACAAAACACGTATCTAATCAGAATAATAAAAGGTCCAATTGGGCATTCCTGCAGCCACAAAATTATTTGGCTATCAAGTTAGTACATGAGCTTAACGTGAATAGAAAATCTGCATACTATCTGTGTAAAAGGGATGCCATTGGTGCAGGTGGTTGGATGTGTCATAGACATGTGGTATCAACTACAAACTGTCCTAAATCAGTGTGGGCCCTGAAAGAAAATCGAACTATAAAAACTATCAATTTGGGCAATGATCTTTAAGTGTATGGCTTGACAATCTAGAAAGAGAAATAATAAATACTAAGAATTAGTTCATGGACCCCTCATGTGTGTAACACATGTGTCAACAAGCCACCTTTCAGTATGATAGCATCAGATCTCAAATTCATTGTTAGACAACTTGCCACCCCTGTAGGCAACACACCTCAGGAATATATATATATTAGTGGAAAGATAAAGTTTAAGTCAAAAATAAAGGATGAGTTCTGTAGGGTAGAATTATGTGGGAAACAAGTTCTGTACATTTATCATGCTTCCTTGTTCTAGTTTATGATCCTGCCAATTATTAAATTACTTACTTTATTACCTTCTTATTAAATGGAACATATTTTACACTTTAGATAAATAAGAGAAACGTATGATACACCTTGAAATGCTTTCAACCCCCTGGTATATTGAACATAAAATGGTCCTTCATGTGAACAATTGATCTTGTGTTACAGTTTATAAGACAGTATAATTAACATTCAGCATAAGGATAATTGAGATATTGTAATTGAAATTCAACTAGCAAATATTAATAACCAAGGAAGCAATGGGACAAAATGACAACCTCAGGACACTGTTGGTAATTACATGTATTTGATTTCAAGCCGTGACAATGCCAGAAAATGACCATTGCGGGACATGACACAATGAATATGTTGCACATGACAGCCCATCATTTTATCTACATATTACACCAGTCTATAGAAATGCTATGTATTCTTTTTCTGGTTGAGATGGTTGGGGGCATCAGCGAACATGTATTTGAGTCTGTATGCCTCTGCCAGAATCAAGTTGACCTCGTCATCACCCCAGTGTATTGTAGGAAGATTTTGTAGATGTAGCATGAGACCCTGAAATAAGAAGTATAAAAACAATAAATTAAATGTACGTATCTATTTATTTAATATTATAATCTATCCATTTATGATATCCATGCAGAATTTCTTCTTTTGTTTACTTGTAACTGCTTCTAGAAGACATAAAAGGGCAGTCAACCCCTAAAGGAGGTGTTATTTTCTTAAAGACAACATTTTCACCAGGAATTTCTGGCAATCAAATGTATACACATACTAGAGTTCCCTGATCTCATACCTTCGCCAAATGATGTTAATCTTTATGACTGACAAAGTTTAGATTAGATTATTCCCCCCTGATTTAAGAAATAGGAACCTAATTTTCATGAATTATATCATTTTATCATAATCTCAACCAAAAGACAGTCTTATATTAACAAAGAATGCATTCTAGCATTTCCTAATAAATTATGCAAATGAGGTCCTGATTTGAATAAATTATGTTTAATGATGTTCACCTCAATTTAACTTTCAAATACCACAAGTATGGAATTCCAGGCAGTTATCATTACATAATTATAAAATTTTCTCATTAATTATGCAAATTAAGTCATTATTAACATAATCAATATCTTCCTGTGTTTCTCTCGTTGTCAATTACCAATGTCACAAGCTTCAATTGTCCTATCATGGAATGCAGCTGATTTATAGAATTTCCCCATAAATTATGCAAATTACATCCATATTTGCATAATTGTCACATCGTTATATTAAGCATCACATAAGCTACCTACATACCAAAAATCACAGCGATCCGTCAACCGGTTCTTGAGTTATCCCCTTTTGAATATTTTCAAGAATTTATCCCTGCAGTTCCAGAGCAAGCCGCTAGGGGGCCTAAACTCACGTCACTTCTTTCTCAGCACAAGAGCTACCTACCATCTAAATTTCATCACCATAGCATGTCTAGATCATGAGATATCAAAACCAGAAGTTCAGCTGCAGTACCATAATAAGCCGCTAGGGGGTCCAAAATCTAATCATTTTGAGGTCTCATCAAGACCTACCCACCTACCAAGTATCAAGACAATCCATCAAGGCCTTCTCAAGTTATCGTGTTTACAGACAGACACACACACACACACACAAACACACACATACACGAACGCCCCTGAAAACATAACCTTCTTGGCGAAGGTAATAATATACATTTTTGAGTATACTATTAGGCTAGCCCCAGAGGCTTTGCCAAAAAAAGGCACTAGTTCAAACTACATGTATGTACTAAGGTCCACTTTAATTCCTGACCTGGAAGTCCCCCTTCCTGAGTAGGTCTTTTCTCCACCTGATGAGGAAGGCAGCACACACGTACAGGTGGAACGTGGAGAACCCTTGTGGCTCAGCCTGGAACATACATGTACCAGTTTTTATGTTAGTCCACAACAATTACACATCTATTGTTATGGATGACATCCTCTGGACTCATGGGTGCCGTTATACATGTAGAATACAAGAAAAGCTAAAATGACATGATTACGTGTATTGTTGTACATGATGAGACTGCAAATATTGTACATGTATGACTGCATACATGTACCTTCACTAAATAATCTATCCTACTACTGTTTGGCCATGTTTGGCTATGTGTGACAGGGGTTTAAACCTCTATGCTGGCAGCAGTTTCATATTGAGAACATACCAGGTATGTGTCCCAGAGACGAATTGTGCATCTAAGCGGTAACTCTCTCATGAGTAGGTTGTTCATCCAGCGGAAGGCAAACTGCAGATACTCCACCATGTGGGCCTCCAGATGGGCATGGAGAGGAGCTGGGAGGAGATACAGAGGGATGTCAGTATGTCAAAACTAAATAGTCATGTAGTGGTAGCAGTCAAACTGGTACACGTATATATGTCAGGGTAGAGACTGTGGTCTGGTAGAATTGGAGATTCTGTGTTGTACCAGACTGAGTAGAGATCCTGATTCTCATTGGGGTCTTTGCCAGAGATCCCAATTGGAGTCTCTGGTGTGGATTATACATGATGTACATAATAGAAAACGTAGTACATGTAGTTGACCAAACAGTAGTTCTAAGTTCTCTATTGCTTTCACTTGTTTGACACTGTACATGTAATTAGCCTTCAGGCATGACTTACATTAGTACATTATTCCATGAAGGAGTAACATACAGCGTCTCACCATCTATTCTCTTGACCAGCTCTCTCAGAGCGTTCACCTTCAGCTGGATCCCCGGCTGTGCAAATGTGTAGTTGTCCTGCAGGAGAGCAGCCACCATAGCAACTTATGTCAAGTGCAACTCTCACCTATTACATTGTAACTATGAGGGCTGTTTATTGAGAATTTCCTCCAACCCTGTGCCAGTTCTTGTTGGAATAGTGCTGTGTACCAGTTCTGTGTGTGTGTCATAGCACAATACAATTGTTACAGTAAACAGCACTGTAGAACATCAATTCATCCATTTCTGTATCATATAATTTACATATTGTGAAGCATACTGTGGCACTCTTGAAACCAGAAGAAACATAACAGGAGAAACCAGGGGTCCAATTTTTTCTAAAAAGAATCCAAGAAGCACGAAATAAGATTGCCCTTAAGTTGCCCTCTCATGATGAGGTTGTTGATATTGGTGATATAAAGTAGTATAGTATAGAGTAATGACAGAAAAGTTGGGGCAATGGAACCGATGACCAACCTGAATCCCATCCAGCAGCTTACTCAAGCACCAGAAGCAGTCAGCCTCGATGCTGCACAGGGCCTTCTCATCCAGGTTTTGTGAAGCGTCAAAGTCTTCTGTTATCACATCCAGATCTAAAGGTAAACACAATTACTTAGTTTAATACTCATCACTCAGACTTGTGGCAGGTTTATGATCCTTTAGTTTCTCCCCTAATCCAAGCAATATATAATTTAGTTTATCAAGGATTCACAAACTATACTTAGTATTTTATCTCCATATTGAAGACCAGCAACTCATACCTTCACTATCTCAGTTACATGTGTCACTTGATGAAAGTCCTAGCATAAAATACAGTGAATTTATAAACTTTCCTCCTTACTTATGCACATAAGCTCCTGATTCGCATGATTTGTATTTTATTTATCTTAATCATTACTATTCTTCAGACCAAAAATCATTATGGGTTAATTTCCATTTAGTTCAATCACCTGTATATTCTGACAGAAACACCACAAAGAAGGGTGTGACCAGGTCATTGATGCCTTGCACATAACCACTGGCAGGATGTCTAATAGCCCAGATGAACAGCACTCTCTCATAGATCTACAAGAAACAAAACAGATTTGGTTAGCACTAGGGTAATGTAGGGTATTGACTTGGGTAGACTATCAGGGACATTAAGTTACAAAAAACATATATGAAAAGTCATGAATTTCAAGAGCAGAGGAAGCTCAATTTCTCCAAAAATACTCATGACTTTACCTCATGTACCTTTAAGTCAATGATGTGATATCTACGTGTGTATTTAATTTACTGATTGAGAATTAAAACAAGATTGAAGATGAATAATAAATTACGTGCTATTTACAAGAAGTCAGACATCCCAGTGTAATTCCTACCTCTTGGATAACTTTCTGTTGGAATAAAGGTATGAGAGGGTTTGTCCTTGGGATATCTATATGGATCTGAAAAATTAACAACACAAACGATCAAGCAACATTGGATTGAAGAAATGATTGACAGGCAGTTTATAATTCTGACTTCCATGTGAGGTCTAGGGACTGGTGAATTTCATGATCAGTTTCTGTGCCATTATTTCAGCTGTCATGGTGGCAGCAGCTTGTTACGGTGTCTAGGGCATGGTATTGGGAGGTGGAGCCCATCCCTCTCCTTCCACTGCGTTTACCTCTCCAACCAGAGTCAGGTAATGGTGGGTGGAGTGAGGAAAGATGTGCAAAGTGCCTTTTGCAGGGGCACAAGATCAGTGACATGGCAGGATTAAAACCCATGCAGGAACTGTGGGTTCTGGACCAAACGCCCTTCCGTAATGCCACACGACCCCACAAGTACAAATGTACCTATTAGTAATTAGATATGATGCTGTTTTTGACCACATCGTTGATCATTTTTTTCAACAGAACTGTTTCAACAGTCCATGGACCTCACATGGGCTCCCAACTATCACTTCTCACCTCTTGAATTGAACTTTGACGGAAAAATGGAAGCTGGGAATTCATCCTAGGTATGTCTACCTGGATCTGTTCAGGGTCAGGCCAGAAAATAGAGAAAACATGAAGTATTACACATGAAGTGCAATTACACAATGTCTTTGACACTAAGGTTATATAGAATACTGGAACATGTAATCGTGTAATGCATTCATTTGGTGACCATATATACCAAACCATATACCATATAACTGTCCATCTGCCTGACCTCCAGTGGTAAGAGCAGGCAAGTCACACACACATGCACAGATACACACGCACATGCACAGATACACATGCACAGATACACACACATGCACAGATACACATGTACAGATACACACACATGCACAGATACACACACATGCACAGATACACACACATGCACAGATATACACATGACATTACATGCACAATACACATATAGCACACACATGCTTGTGCACATATATACATGATACATTGTACATGCACATTTACACACATGCTCACTCACACACATATCCTTCACACACATATCCTTCACATTGGAGTAAACAATGGAATTCAAACGTTACCTGTCGCCATGTTTCCACGTGGAGCTCCTGTGTCCTGCTGGGGTAGTACTGGTCTACAAACCTGAAGTATTCCTCACGTTTTCTCTCCAACATCATGGACCGCCTCTCAACATTGGCAGGCAAGTAGTTCTAATTTTGGGAACAATAGGTTCAATTAATGAGTAAATTAGAGTACATGCTTGTACACGGGAAGCCACATATAACATTGTACACAGCATTGCTTTTTTCTAAAAGCGAAAAGACCAGAGGTCTCCAGACTGCAAAGACAGCATACTTACACTGAGCAATTTCCACACAGTAGGTCGAGCTTCTCTGGGAACACCTGACCACACCATCTTCTTCAGTCCATCTAAACAGTCAAATTCAACACTGGTGTTACTGGTCAAAACTACACATATGCTTAGGATATTGGGATTCCTTGAATTAAAAAAATTTTCAACAAAATACCATTGCAGAGGCCCCCATGCTATGTTATGGCCTAGTCCAAAAACATTCCTATTAGATGAAAATGAGATTATACATGAAAGATGAAATCTTTTAAGATGTGAAATGCAACAGTTACCATTTTTTTCAAACTTTTATATAAGTATACCGTGATTGAAACAAATACTCACCCAGGTCTGTATTGGGTCCTGCAATAAACTCATTGACTTTCTTAAGCTTGGCTCCCTCACGTTCAGTCAGAGATTTGTCATCACTGCACGCTCTCCCCAACTGTCTGCTGAGGCGAGACGGGGGGTTTGGTCTGCCTTCTGACGGGGTCAGGGTCCAGTCCCCGGACTCTGCTGTATCTTCTGATGTGGGAAACGTGGGAGGTGTGGGTACAGGAGGCAGGACGGGCGGTGTGACGTCCTCAGGTGTACTCTGTTGTCTGATTCCCACTCCTGGACCAACCCCCTTCTGTCTACTGATGTTGGACATTTCATCTGACTTGCCTGGTGAACTTTGGCTGGGAAAATCTAGGATAATGAAAAGACAATCATTAATTAAAATGCTGACATATTTTAGCATGAGGACTTCTTCATAGTCATACATAGCAAAACTGGAGATAAAAGGTAGTCCCATGATCTTTTTTGAGGCTGTAAGGGCAGTGGATTGTTTATAATCCATTGTACATGGTATTGGAAGGCAAAGCCCATCCCTCTACTTCCACTGCTTTTTACCTCCCCAACTGAAGTCAGGTACCCATTTTTACACCTGGGTGGAGTGAGGAAAGTTGTTCAAAAGCATTTCCCAAGAGTACAAGATTGGTGATATCACAGGATTCCAACCCAGGACCTCTAGGTTCTGAGCACACACACACACACACACACACACACACACACACACACACACACACACACACACACACACACACACACACACACACAGACACAGATTGAAATCCTAAATGGCAAGACAACACCCTACCTGGGACTGTGTTCTCTGCTGTTGTTTCCTTAGAACGTTGGGGCAAGCTTGCTTGGTGATTGCTTGCTGTTTTGCCATGATTCACCGAGGCAGGTAACAAGTTTTCAAAAGACAGCTTTGCTTCTGAGAGTGCAATAATTTCATCTTCAGCATCATCCCAAGCATCACTGGTGTTGTCTTCAAAATCTTGAAATGACAAAGTCTTTCTTGGTTTTTGGTCCTTAAGATTCTCCCTGACAGGACTTGCTTGCACAGACCTGGAATACAATCTTCATCAGTTAAGAATTCATCAACCAAATTTACTTGCAAGAAGACACCTAAATGGCACACAGCGTTACTTTGGTAAGTTTGTATCTGTATAGCCAGTATAACCTCCCTTCGGCGTAACACACCAGCTGCAGTAGTATGTTTGTAGATGTACTTCACTCCAAGTGAGTGAAGTATTGGTTTTGGTTCTGGTCCGTGTCCATGTGTGTTTCTGCAATTAGTAGACTGACATCTTTTTTTAGATCTGTGAAGGAGGCCAGTGACCTCTGTGGGGTACTAGTATTGAAATGAAACGTGTCTGTACAAAATCTACATTCATATAGCTGAGCCTCAAGATCCCTTCGCTGCTTTGGTTTGGCATGTCATCTGGTAGTATATTATTCACACTGTTTTTTTTTTTTTATATATCGTAGCAATTTTCATGGGTCATATAATGTTTCAGAAAGTGAAAGTGAATGATTCGCAATGGTGTACATGACAAATGGGCGATAATCTGCCACCTCTGATTGTGACAGCTTGAACTATAAGATATCAATCCGTGTTTCAAAATAACATTGTATTTAGATTTTTTTAAAATCATCTCAGAGCTTAAAATAAATGCTACAAAGATCGCAAAAATACTTCATTCTTTACTGCGGCTGCAAGTAGTTATTTTCAAATTCCTCACCCCGGTCAATAAAATGACCAGTCTGTTTGGAAAAGCGGCTCAAGTAACTCCTATGGTTCGAATAAAGAACCGGAAACGTCCTAAATATTGACACAGTAGCCAGCAGTGGCTTCTCCACCTTCAGTTCAGCAAAATTAGTGACCACGTCATATTTACCTGCCAGGCACTTTGGGGGCGTTCCTCTTCCAGAAAGGCCGTCGTTGTGGGCTCATAGCACGGCCCAGCCCTTCGCTGACTTGCGGCATTGCCGACCTAGCGCCGGAGTCATTCATGTTGGGAATAATTAGCTAAAGGGCGTAGCAAGGAAGGTAGGGCGTGAGAAAATAGTGGTCGAGTCAGACACTGCCATTAACCGCCGCCATGACAGTCATCATCATCGTCATCATCTGGATCATGCGATATGGAAGGGGGAGCGAGTACGTTGTACACGGTATGTAGATCGGAGTTCTGTAGACAATCACCTCACACTTGTCGATTCTACCGTAGAAAAAATTGCAGCAGAATTTATGAAATGGGTACGAAAAACGAATATGTCATGATGATTTCAACAAGGATATATCCTGCAAAATACCCGTTCTCAAGTGGTATAGTCTCAAAAAAGCACCCTGCGGGCTTCAACTGTACTGCAGCTTCTTTACTTTTTATCATGCAGCCCCTGTGGCATCCAACGTATGAGATAGAGACAACAAAAATACAGAAAGTTTATTGCATACAAACACAAACCTGTTTTGTTTTCGAAGGCATCCACAGGTCGCGGCAATGGTGAAATCTGGTGGCATACAGACACCACACTTGTTCATGTCTACTTTGAAATGTAACTTTGAGCCACAGTGGTGTAACTTGAATGGATAGATGGATGGATGGATGGACGGATGGATGGATGGACAGATGGATGGATATAGATGGATGGACGAATGGACAGATGGATGGATGGATAGATGGGTGTATAGATGGGTGGATACAATGGATGGATGGATGGATGGATATGGATGGATGCGCTAGCTTTGACAAATGAAACACCACGTGTTCATCTTCCACCAAAACACTTTCTTTATTACGCATTGTCTGAAATTGTTGCAGAGCTCCTTGACTTAGAAGATTATACTATATCTGACACAATGGAACGTATGGTAGCAGTATCAATGCTATTTTCAAGTTAGCTACAATGACATGTATCGTTACAGCTGCAATACAAAAACTGCTGAATAATAGAAATCGAGACATCGTAAAGTTTGCTAATAAATTTTCAAGTTAGCTACAACGACATGTACAGCTGCAATACATGCAAAAACGTCTGAATAATAGAAATCGAAAGATCGTTAAGTTTGCTAATAAATTTACCTTGTCTTATATTGTGCTTCTTGTGACTTAATAATGTATCCGACAAGCTGTCAGTCAAAGCCCATTGTAGTTAGAATGAATATACATGTAACGTTATGTAGTTGCTATATAGTCAGCCAACAGAGCTACACTGGCAAAACTTCAAGTGTAGTACACCATAGATGAACATCAAAATTGAGTCTCTGCCTACGCTTGTTTAGTTAATTACTAAAAAACAACTACTCTTAGTACTTCCTGAAGTTAGACAGTGAACGTATCCTTTAGTAATACGTAACTTACACCAAACAAGCAAGGGTTCTAAAACAGAATGGACGACCTCTGCTCATCGTCTCCGACTTGCTCGAAGAACATGAAGTCGATGAGGAAGAGCGCCCCCAGCAGCGTGGCCTTGACTTTGACGTCCAGGTCCATGGGGAACTGGATGCCGAGGTTGTCGGCGTCGGTGAAGGCCTCCTTCAGCAGCCCGCTCCACTGTTTGGAGATCTTCCCCACCTGCGGACATGCAGCATATTTCACATACTACCGACATTTGAGAATATGAGATCTAGAAATGACAACATGATTCTGCCGAAGTTACAACCAACAGGATAGCATACCATCCTGTCCGCTCTGATAATCGCTACCCATCAAGTAGCCACTATGGTGGGTAGCGACTATCGGAGTGGACGTAAACTAACCAGGATCGTACCCAGGCTAGAGACATGAGGGCTAGGGAAACCATTGGTATTTTCTTTATATAACAAAGATAATACTAAAAATGATAATAATAAAACTAAATGAGGGGATGTCCGAAGAACAAGTCTAAGCAAGGAATGAAAGGCAAATGGAATACCGAATGGAAGCAGATTGATCTTGTAAAAAAATCGCCCGCGTATACACTTCAGTCAATCCTTGGTCAACCTATGATTATGTACTAAGCTTGATTTCAATGGTCTAGAACAGTACGTGATGGCTAGTGCTCAAAATGGTATCTAAAGGGAAACTATCAATCAAAATGACACTGAAACTTGTTCAGTATACGTCAGTTAGTTACTTTCCCTCCCTCATACTAAAACCTTTAGTAAAAGATATAAACGTGTGAGCATGTACCTTCTGGTCCCCATCGGCCGACAGAACCTTGAACTCCACATCTCCGCAGAACGAGCAGCTGAGACACGGGCCTTCAATAGTCAGCACGGTCTGTCCGGAGGCGTCTTCTATCGTGAACATGGGCAGGTACGGATGCCAGCTCTGTTTGACCCAGCCTACGGTGGTGCCGGGTGGGGCCTGGACTTCCAGCTCCTACATGGGATAACAACATGTGAGAGGGTTGATAAAGGCATCAAAAGCAATTTTAGGGCTACAAAATTAAATATGAGGATCTGTCTAACATTATCATTTAGTGCCATTTCGTAGCACGAGTTCACTTTCATTACAGTGCGGCAAGTAAGTCCGACAGTTTCCACTATGAAAATACTTTCTCACTAATGGTGCAAATTCCGTCTTCCTTTGCATAATCAATATAAAACTACTAGTATACGCATAAAAACGCTACCAAAAACATAACCTTCTTGGCAAAGGTAATAAACAATTCTGAACATAAACGAAATCCAGTATATCAAAGAATCTATTATATTTCGTAGGAAACATCCATTTACTTTAATATATTCAGTCGTTTATTTTGCCCACCTGAAGGCAGCACACGGCCCAACAGTTCATACAGCGCAGCGGCCGGCTGAAGTGTATGACTTCCTGCTTGTTGTTGTCGTACACCTTCATCTCAAACGACCGGACGTTCCCACAACACTGGCGGGAGCAGCAGTCGTTCTTCTCCGCCGCGAAGTACACCTTCTGTCCCATGGCGTTCTTGATCTTGTACTTGTTGTTTCCTTCTATGCCGATAAAAGCTTCCAGAAGCTCAACTTGTTGTTTCACCAACAACTGATCGATCTGGAGTGAAGATTTTAACATACATTCTTATACCATGAACATTGGACAAGGAAATGTACAGACGATATTTCGTAATTTGCTGAAGAATAGATAAATCCTCAGATATTTATGAGCACCTCTCCGTGGCACGATACAAAAATACAGGTAAATAAACAAGACAGGCAATAAAAGCATTGCAATGGCAACGATTCAATGTTTTTTATTGTATGTGGTGTAAAATGAGCATTGTATTGCTAGCTGTTTTTGTTGGTGTGTATTGATAATCATGATGATTGAAAAAAAAAATGATTGTCCCAAAAAAGGGAACTTCCACTTCTAAGAAATCGAGACTGTGAGCACATTGGCCGCGGGCCACACACACAAGGATACAAACATGGCGGTGTTTACAGTCTGGGGTGTTTCCGTGTCACGACTCACGTTTCCCCAAAACTTCTCCTTTCTCTTTTCAAAATTCTTTCGAGCGTTGCGGAGCGAAAATCCAGATGGTACCCAGGCTATCCTTTCACATGTACATATCTGTTAATCTCATCATTTCACATTTCTTGAAGTTAATCTGCCAAACTTGAGCCACATAAAGGTTATATTTATTGTGTGACCCACCGACTCCCAGCCTAGATGAGGCGAGAAAGGTTGGGAGAAGTCGCTAGGCCATTGACTTAACCATTGACTGGCCACGTATGACAAAAGGTTGACATTTAGGCCAATCGGCCACACCCAAATTTAATTACAATGTGCTAGTTTTCATCACGGGACCCGTCCGTCTGCATATATTATACGGTACGATTGACGCAGTCGGACGGGTCTATTGTTGATACATTGTTGCGCAGCCCAAACAAATACTAGTACCCTACAGTAACATCGATGTGTTTATGGATGATACATAGTCGACAGTGTTAACACAAGTCAATGATATCGATTGATAAGTCTCCAATATATATTTTGACTTTTAAGTACACCTGTTACTTGACCCCAGGGGATTGAGGTATACCAGTGTTGTGTTTGGTTTGATGCTCTCTCTTCTGTATATTTTACAAGCATTTCCTGGTAGTTTTGTGTAATCACAATATGAAAGTCACAGTTTTTTGTAAAGTCTTAGCAACTTAAAGAAGCAAAACATTCAAACGCTGCATTGGCAGATGAGTTGACAACCCACTGGTACTTTACTTGCTATCTTTACAAGGACATTCTTGGCTATAATGATAAGAGAACAGTGGCCTCTCTTAGATCAAAATATAACTGTCATGGCTTTAAGAAGTAACAAGTTCCTGTACCAAGTCAACAAATTACTGGTGCAAAAATTGATGTATGCGTTCTTATGAAAGTAAATATTCACGACTTCAACAGTGTAACATTCCACCCGTTCCACCCTACCTGTGCGAGGTACTCCAGGCCCGGCGGACATCCTACTGGTGCTCGGGGGGGCTGCATCCACACCTGCCCCGGCCCAGCCGCCATCTGCGGGGCCGCCATAGCCTGCTGAGGGGGTGGGTAGCCTCCCTGAGGAGGGGGGTACCCTTGTCCCTGAGGGGGGTACCCTCCGTAGCCAGGTTGCTGTGTAACTGGGTAGCCTGACGCCATATTTCTCACCACTACAAGTATCTCTCACCACTTCGTCTAACACACGGAAATGAGAAAAGTGGTTGTATGGGTTTGTAGTTAGCAATGCGAAAGTAGGTGTCGCTTCTTCTTTGACATACTTTTGTCTACCATGCTGTCCAATGAAATTTCAGCAAGGGAGAAAATCCGTCTGATATTGACGTGAAGATTTCCTTTATTTTTGGCACCACCAATAAATAGTTAGAACCAGCCCACGATACAAAACAAGCAATCGCTTTCGCACAATTCCGTCAGCGACATCGCACTTTTGCCTCACAGATAGCAATATACTTTTCGTCGCTAGGAGGCGCTTTGTTGTTTATTATTCGAACCATTCCACCCCTCTACAACACATATGGTACAGTCCACACACCTGATCCAACATGGCGGACTTTCAACAAACATAAAATTTGAACCTCAACGTCTGGTAAGTTTTACCATGATATACCAACTCTTATTTACTTGCACGACGTTGAAATTTTCTACTTGTAACCCTTACCACATTTTAGTCTTCTGTAGTCGGTATAGGGTGTGAGTTCTTGATGAAAAGTGATACGTAACTATCAACTATGGTGTGTGATGATCACATCGTTTTGCTATTTGTATAATAATAAATTTTAAAATATGTAGCTTCTAAACCTCAAGTTAGCAGCAACACTTTTACCCTGTAGTTTTGAAAGATGGCAACACTCCGTAGGGTTTGTAGGGCAGATCGTGAGGTCACACTATTGTCATGTATACTATTGTATTGTTTTTGGGACTGTAACACTAATATTATACACTGTTATTCTATGATCACAGTTTGGATGGAGACACCTTATTGGTCATTGAAGGCGTCATCCAGCAAGATGAAGTTAACACAGTAGAAGAATATCCGTGTATCAAGATATTTATGTACCGGTATCGGTCAATACGGTACTTCTTTAGCCACGCTAGTGCCACACTGATGTTCAGGATGAAGGAAATATCCAAGATGCACTTCAGTGTTCGCTACATCAGCTTCCTGCCCAGTCTGGTTCTCCTGGTGGCCATTTCCCTGGGCCTGTACACGCGATGGGAGGCCACGGAGGAAGTGTTCGTCCTGATGGTCGCCATGGCCGGGCTGTTTGTGTTCGCCATCGCCGCGGCCTTACACTACTACTTCAGCATGGAGTACTTCAGCGAGAGCCTGGCGCACCTGTGGTTCGGCTGCCTGCTGGGCATGATGGCGTTCACGGAAAACGAGACCTTCCGTTACGACGAGAAGGAAGAAGTGATGAACATCTTACTGATGACGAGCGTCGGACTGTCTCTGTTCTGGGCAATGGTGGAGAGAACTTGTAACTACATCAAATACACCTCCAAACTTCTCACCAACAGTGAGCTGATGGAAACAGCCGGGTTTGCCACAGCCACGATATTACTGGGACAGAAGTGGGCAGACGTGTGTTTCCTTTCCGTTGCCTTTGCTCTGGGGCTTATCGCCATGCGGAAAAAGGCTCTCCTCGCTGTCCCACACTTCAGTGTTTTCCTGGCACTGTCTGTAGCCATATTCTTCCCAGCACTCAAAAAGACCATCAATCCGTACGCGGCGTCGTGTTTCGCTGGTCGTCTCTGCATAGCACCGCTATTGGACATCTACTTTTCCAACCTCACCACTGTAGAAAGATGGCAGTGGTACATATTCCAAAGTAAACACGTTAAAAGATTGGTGATCTTAATCACCGTGGTAGTAGACGTCACTTTTATGGTGTTCTCCGGGATGATTGTCCAGCGCTTCCAGGAGCTGTTTTTCGTCATTCCTGGCTTCATCATTTTCGGAATCCTCTGGGTCTGCTTCCACATCGTCTTCATCGTGACCTGCTGGGTTTTCTCACGTAAACTGAATGAATGCGTACTGGTGTACAAAGCGTACGGTGAAGATACCAAGAACATGACGCGTATCATGGCCTCTAAGGGAGTACGCCACTTCAGCCAGATATCGGAAAGACTGGCACTCTGTACAATATTCAGCACGTGGATGCTCGCTGCCGTCTCGTGGCAGGCGACAAACACCATGTTCTTTGCCTTCTTGTTCATCGTTCTGCCCGTGGAGGTCACCATTCATGGACTCCTACATGACCTCGGGAAGAGTGTTGGGGGCACGTGTATCGGATATGCAATGGTGGCTCCATCCAACTCCTACAGGTGAGATGTCAACAAATATAGGTTTGTATTGTCAGGTTATCTTATTGTTACTTGTCACACTAATTTAGTTTTTTGGTTTTGATGTGTGAGCATGTGTGTGTGTGAGTATGGACAATACCACTGTCAGCATGGGGGTGTCATCAGCCTATATTACCTTGTACCTTGGTCCCTTAACCCAGGTCAGCAACTAAGTATGCAAAATTTCATTGAGTGAATTCAGGAAATACACAATCCACAATGTAATGTTATATACTTCAGTAACTGCAGAAAATTGTTAGCTGAGTGTGTTTTGATGAATATTTAGTCTGGTGCTTGTACATTTATACAGTCCTGAGGGGGAGGTTATCCTTCTACCCTCCAACGCCCTGCAAGAATACATGAGCCAGTCCACAGACATCCTGAACAGCATGCAGCGCTTCTTCACGCAGCATCTCGTGGAGACATTCGGCTGCGACTACTCCACCAGCGGACTGACCCTGGAGTCCGTGGAGTCAAAACTCAAGGCTCTGTTTGAGCGGCACACCCCCGACGGGCCCCGCTTTGACTCATACGTGGTGTACTACAGTGGACACATGCACCCGGGCGGTGACCTGGCACTGTCAGGTAAATACAAGTACTCACAACTTTGGAGTTTTTTTTGGTGTGATACCATAAGCCTGATAGTAAATAACATGGATGGGTCTTAAATGATATTTGGTATCACTATGTTTGTAGGTCTTGTTGACAAAATGAAGAAATATCAAATTGTGGACCCCCAAGCATGAACAGATATAAATTATGCACCAATTTGTGTAATCAGTTTCATACTTGCTGCATTTGGAAATTAAGTGACAGCAAATCAGGACCTCATTTGCATAATTGATAAGGAAATACTAGAATAGCCTGTTTTGTTTACAAACGACTGTCAATTGCTTTATCTTATACCTAGGAATATAAGAGTTTTTTTATAGACTTCAGCTAGGGTGAAGGTACTTTGTCCCATGGGTGATTTGCAAGTGTACAAATCCTGTATATGCTAAGTTATTTCCTTCCTCCTTGCTACCAGGTCTTAAGACAGCAGGTGACACCATGCCAGGTTGGTTGGAGTGCACTGTGTTCAATGTTATGTTGGGTCTTAACTGGTTTGTTTGGTCATGGTGTGGTGCCTTTCTGTGGCTAATACATGTATGTTTAATTTCATGTTTCCTTAAGGGAGTGGTCTACAGGTTACATTCAAGAGTGTTCATACTAATCAGAGATTGGCTACATGAGTTTAGAAATGGTGGTTCCTTGGTGGTCAATGTACGCACTATTTAAACTACAGATCGTGAATAACTTCCCATTTGCACATGTGAAAATTGCGATCAAAATTCACTGTACAAAATGTGATTAAAAGCTGTGCATTTCTCAAAATGCACACTGTTGAGAATACAGTCCCAAACGTGGCCAAGTTTGGATCTCCCTCATCCACCCACTGGGGTTGACTTTCTTATCCAGATGGCCTCCTTGATCCAACGGATTCGTCTTGTTGTCTTCTCCGTCTAAATTACCTTGGCCTCCTCCAAACCCCAGTGATGAACTAGGACGAGGGCAGTTACAAACTTAGTCACATTTGGGACTGTGTTATTGGCTCAAAAGTACCACCAACATCGGCTTGTATAGCGGCAAGAAGCAATACCTCAGTCAGAAGCTCTCAGGAAGGGGTCTGAGGTATCGAAATGTAAAGCAGGTGAGAGTCTATACCGGTTATGTAAAAAGAAAACCCCAATATCCCATGTTTTACCAACCAGATGAAATCACTTTTGGTTAGCTATGGAGTAACACTCTGCTGTGTTTCCAGGGACAGCGTCATTAAAGCTGGACACCCTGCTGGAGTGGTGGAGGGAGACTAACACTAACAGCAGTGCTGGCTCTCGTCTCATCATCATCCTGGACACCAACAACAGTCAACACTGGGTCCGACAGGTTGGTTGGTTTGTTTCATTAAGTTTAAATAGCCACACTATTCTTCCTGGAGTTGTAGTGAATTACCATGGCTGGACCATCATAGATGGGGGCATACCCTTACCCTTTTTCAAAACCCTGTGTTCCCAGGTCAGGAGGTTGGATGGTGTTTATGTAGCCATCCAGTCCTACCAGCAGAGTCGGACTGATGACCCAGAGAATGCCACCCAGGCTGGGGAGTTCACCAAGGAGTGGGTGGCGTACAACTGTAGTGACGACATCGGGATCAACTGGGGCGCGGAGGGCAGGACACTGAGAGCCGTGTACGCTGTGTCGCGGTGCTGGACAGATTTTCACTTCCATTCGCCGTCTGAGGATGACGTGGCGCAGCACTGGGAGAGCCACTTCCCGCGGGTGACACGGCCGCTGGTCAGGGTCGCCACATGGTGCCAGGGTGGGGAGGTGGAGCTGCTCTGCTGCTGTGACTGGCTCTTCAAGTGTTTGAAGAGGAAGAAAATGCAGTGGCTGCCTCCAGTAATACTCAACACAGGTCACGGCTTTAAGCTGGTCAGGACAAAAACTTGATCTCAGGAGGGATGACCTGAAACTCTGACTGTGTCTGACTGCTTGTAGTTCTTACTTTAGATATTGCAAAAGTTGTCCAAAGGTGACAGTGACAGGACTTGTGATATGGTCTCACTTAGCCATAACTAGTCTGCAGATTTTGAATGATTTTTGAAAGTAACCAGTCTTAAACACTGTCAGGCAAATTGTTCCAGTAACAAATTACCTGACCAAGGCTCACCCTGCAAGCTTTCTTTCAAATATTGTTATGTATTTGCATTTGTATTCTTTATTTTGCACATAATAAAAATCAATACAAAGTAAAATACACAAGAAGACTGTGCTTGGGGACCAATTTGGTCTACCAATATTTGAGGTCTTCCCCATACAACTAATTAAAAAAAAGCAAGCAAGTAAAAAAGTGTAAAAAAATGATAAGACAAAAACTTTATTTTTCAGTAGCTCTGATTCATACTTTAGTACAGTGTAAAAGACATGTGTATAATATACTTCAAAACAACAAACAATGCATATCAACTCAAATTGGGACATGTGGTGATAGGAGGAAGGTGTTTACAGAATCGTCCTATTATGACAGGCATCTATAATTCTTTCAAAACACCCTTATTCCCTGTTGAACCTATTATTCCAAATTTGATGAAGTTTTCACTGAAGCTGCCTTTCCACAAATGATAGTACAGTGTACTGTATCATGGTACATTTTTGTGCCTAAACTTTCTCTTGAGACACTCACATAATTTGCAAAGTGCATGCAGTTCTGATATAAAGTTATGCAATGTACATTACATCAGTGTACAAATGTAAACAAAACAAATCCTATGGCTTGAGTGAAAAGCTTGTTTTCTGTGGTAGCACCAAACAAATTCAGTCACCCTGTGAATTTTTATTCCTTTCCTGCTAATCTGGAGTCATAAACTCTTGTTATACTTTGAATACTGGAGCAGTTTTTCTTCTCTGAGTCTCTGTGGTTGGAAGTTTGTCTCCTTTCCATGGCCTAGTGATAAAAAAAGCATAAATGAATAAATACCAGTAAATCTTAGGTTTTAAACTCCAGGCATATAGGTATGGTTTGTGTTAACATCATCTGGCTATCAAAATATTCTAATGACAAACAGCCCTCCCCATTGTAAGCAGACCATGCCCCATGCTACTACAAAGTAGTACAAACACATTCATACAATCCTCCTTGATACTTTCTTTCTGCATTCATAAATCCTGTAACCAGAATGCTAGTAGATAGGAAAAGTTACCCCCAAAATGCATGTACTTACTTGTAGTACATTCTCGGCATGTTTTCCAGGTTAACGTCTTCAAACACCTGCAGAGGGCAGAAGAAAACTTCTCGTTATGAACAGTACCAACCTGGAAGGGTATAAAGAACTAGCAGAGTCATAGGCTAGCATGAGGACTAATTACCAGGGATTATGTGAGTGTTCAATTAAAAAAAAAAAATTGAGAAAGCAAATGTGAACACGAGGAGACCCCACACGTCCATGAAATTGTCAGATCTTGTCAATTTTTATGTCGAAATATCGAAACCATAGCACGTTCAGGACAAAACATACAAAATGGGACGTTTGGCTGTAGTACCAAGAAAACCCTCTAGGATATGTATACCGATTGCCATCACAATCTAGCATGGCCAAGTTATGTTGACCACAAATTTGCGAAACACATACACATACAGACAGGCCCAAAACAATACCTTCCTTTTTCCTGAAGGTAATACACATGCGTTATACTAAACTTATAGACAGAAATGGAAGCCTACAGAAGATGAGGTTTAATGTAACCTTGATAGTTTCTGCTGATGCGCCACTAGGAGCAGCTAGACCGGTTGCCATGGGCGTGGCTCCCTTGGTGAAGGGCGTGGCAGTTTGGGCTCTGTGTCGAACTTGTGCGGCTGCGGCTGGATGTACAGGTTTGATAATGCCAGACATCATCGGCTGTGCACTCTGAGACCGCCTATCACCCGTCAGCGCTCGGATGTGACCAGAGATGGGATCCGCTGGGTTAAAACACATCTCATTTAGATAATTGGTCAAATAACATCGCAGGTCTGCGTATTCAAGTTTTTGATTGATACCTTTTCAATATTCCCGAAAATAGTTTCATCAGGTTGGGATTCCCTTTTACACAACCAATATTATCTCACCTTGCCTCGAGAAGCAGAACTCCAGTCAGAAGCTATGAGGAAGGTGTCTGATAGACAGTGCTGGTTGTGTAAAAGAAAATCCCTATTTTTCCTACCTATTCAATATCACATATTTTACAGAGATTTTCCAGCAGGTCAGGATTACTCCTTCCCCCTTCACATAAATCAAATGACATTTTAAATGTTTCCCTCACCTGTTTGCTGGACGGAGTGTGCCCTGATGGCCATGCCGTACTGCCAGCGCCTCACAGCGGACTCTGTGCTCCTCTGCAGTCTGCTGGGCGTGCCGCACCGGAAGGGCGGTCTGGCGGGCCTGCTGGTGTCTGCGGAGGGTGTGCCGGGGGAGGACAGCTGTGTGGCTGCAGGGACAGAGCCTGATGACCAGGCTAGAACCAAAGAAAACCTTAGTAATGTGACAAGAAAGTTTTCCTGTCCTAGCATAGATGTATGACACTAGATGTTTTGATACATAAATGGTTGGAAGAAATTATCATCATTGCGTATACAATAGACGACAATGGGAAATGTTTATTACTTGCAAACGTTAACGTTAAAAAAGTCTTTTTTGGAGAGACTCAACAACTCTCCTCAGTCCTCAACAATGAATACCTACTTTCGAAATACCTTCTAAAAGGTTATCATGGGAGTACATGGCCATTTCTTCCAAAGCAGTGGACTTGCAAATCGGCAAGGTGTCCCTAAACGTAATCTCCAAGCAGATTCTGTGGGGCAAAGGGAGATCTGTATCGGCAGCCTGTATCAATTGGCCTCCTGTAACCATTGGCTGCCCCAAAGATTACCTAAACATTCCGTGTTGCGCCTTACCTGCGGCAGGGCGCCCCGGTGGACTATGTGGTCTGTCCGTCTGTGTTTGTCTGTAGCTGTGCGCCTCTGACAGCAGGCTGATGGTAGACACGGTGTGGGGGACGTTTAGGGAGAACAGAAACCTGAGAACAGGAAACATCACGTTAGCAAACAGAGTAGAGGTAATCTTAGTGAGAGAATATAATTCTTCTTTCTCTAAACAAATACACAAACTCTTGTATCAGGAAAGTCATCTTCAACTCTTGCACTTTTCAACGCACGGGTCAGAATTGCTATCTTACGTTCGGATTCAACTAAAATATTTCACTTTTGGTGTGAAATGTTACACGTTCTCTTACTCGGGCATTATCTTTCTGGATAAAACATACCTGTTGTAAAAGTCGATGATTTTGGGACTGTCGAAGTCCTTCACATCAAGATACAGATTTGTGTGCGGATTCATCTCAAGAGCCTGGGGAGAGAGGCGAGCCAGTCGGTAAGTCGGCGGTGCAAACATTACCTCTACAGAATGGGTAGAACTGTCAGGCGTAGGTTATATACTACACTACGATGAGTTACCCTCAGAGAAATACAAAAAATATTACCTATAAATCTGACAACATTGAGGCAAAGTTAACTTTCACGGCAAAAGAGATAACTGTTAGATGATGATTAGAAGGAAAGTTCTCTATCTAGCTAGGTTCAGATGTAGCAGACCGTGCAACCAAGGAGGTCCGTATCTTAACCTCTTGGTGCAACGATGACTTCAACTGCCGAGGAGAAATATTTACAAGTCGAAGCCAAAAAAAAAAACATGTTAAAAAGTTTACGAAAGTCAGTCCGTCATGACAGATCAAGCAAATAACAAACACTCATGGCAACCACAGACATCTGTCTGTCACTGAAAATCACGTCACACGGGTCAAATGATTGGTTGCAGGATTAGTAGTAAATCATCTGGCGTCTCTGCACACTTGATTATTGCAGTAATTAAAGCGAACACATCATCACGGAGCACCTCAATCTCCACATTACACATACTTTCACATGATCCTTGTTGATAACCGTTTGGCTGACCTCTGGAACGTCTATTATCTAGATAATCAGGGAGGGGTGGGATGGGAGGGGAGGGGAGGGGCGAGGAGATAATGGCATGCAAGTACGTAGGTAAGTGATGGAAGAAATGGAGTTAAGTATTGACACATAAAGCGGCAATACAACTTACAAGACTATAATATAAATCTATAACAATGGACTTAAACATAAAGTAGAGTGGGTGCCAAAATGTTTTTTTGAGAAATGGTTGGGGTTATAATGATGTTAAGTGACTACAGATCTTCAAAGTAAAGCGATGAAATGTGCACGGAATACATAACACAGTAAAACGTGCAGTTTCGGGATTTCGTCACTTCCGATTGTATCATTAGGGCTATGCAGATGATATTCTAGGAAGAAAATCATACTTTCTTGGCGTTATTAATTGTTTTATTGTAGTAATACTGAGTGTACCTACCATTGGTCGGTCTATCGTACCCCTCAGGATCAATGCGCATGCGTGACGAGGGTTTCGCTTGAGCGCTGTGCTCAAATCCTGTATTGCCTATACAAAAAACAACAGCAACATATATGTTAAAAACACCGTTCGGAACAGAGTTTCAATTAGTCTAGGATTTAATCTATTCTCATAACGCTTTTTATTGTCATAATAGATATTTGGGAATCAAACTCTTTATTTTCGTATAGAAATTCCTTAAATTTTTAATTGATAGAAAGATAGCTAACATTAACATTTCTTACCATTTTCTCCTCATTGAATGTCATCCATGTTAGAGCCCTGATACAGTACACATCCTGTTGGACACATTAAAATGGTACAAATTAAGGTTTCGCCATGAAAACGATCATCAGACAACAGACAAGGTTCCAAAAATACAGCGGCGACGATCTTCTTGGTTCTAACGAGTGGTAGGATGGCAAATAATATAACAGTATATAAATTTGAAATGTTAGCGTAATTAGTAAACATATAAAAACATAACCTACCGGGTTCACATTGTCTAGCACCACTGCCTTTTCTGCATCCCTGAGTGCGTTTTTCCTGTCTCCTGTGTAATGCAAAGTCACAATATGACATGAACAGACATCTAGGGTTTTCGAAATGACAAATATTATAGAAATTTACCACAGAGAGAATGTGCACTTGGCACATATTGCCGTTAAACTTTACTTACCACATTTTGCATAAGCGAAGGCCCTCTTGGCAAAAAGTGGCGTCATCAGACAAGAGTTGGAGTGACACCCCGCCAAGCAGCCATTCTGTTGGAAAAGGTAAAAACACGTCTTTCTTAAACTTTTAATTTCTTCACACGTGAAAAACGGAGGAAACGTCCAATTCATCTATGTATCTATGTATCCATCGATCGATAGATAGATAGATATATGAACGCCCAATATGTGTGCATATTTAGGTTTGTTCTAACATACCTTCGGTATGCTGACGACCTTAATAGCTTTGGTGTATTGCTTGATAGCCTCGCGGTGACGACCCAGGTTCTGTAGCGCCAATCCAAGATGGTAGTACAACTCGTACAGCTGTGGAGAGACAGAGATATCACGGTATTGGTACCAATATTGCTAGAACAACAACAATTTAAGTATCCTGGTAGTAGATGGCATACGAAAATGACCAGACAAATAATAGAAGATTTGAAAACACAGAAAAACATGTATAAACAGCTGATCACAAGGCAAGCGACGTGCTTAGCCAGCCAGAATCAATAATGTACCAGCTCACACAAGAAGACGTACCAACATGATATGTTTACTGGCGGGCGGTTCGTATCCTTCCGGTAAGTTCCGACGGCACACCAGTTTTAACAGGTGGTTGTAGTTTTCTACTACCTGTTGAAAAAATGAGAGCTTGTAAAAACCATGAGGAAATACGAGGATTCTCTTTCCTTTCAATCCTTTTTTGTCCCCAAACCAATCCTTTCTATATTTGCCAGCAGCTGCCACCACAAGCCATAATTTGCCCTGGAATCCATGCAGTAACAGTAACAGTATCCAGACGGCCAGTGAGTTTTAGCGGCCGCGGTAATCTGGATTCCAAGGTAGCCATAAATAGAGGCAATACTTACAAGGCTTAGCCTGTCAATAGGGTAGAAAAAAAATCTTATTATACTGTCAATAGCGAAAAAATTCTTGTTGCCTGTCAATAGCTTTGCGTCAACGCCCGGCAATTGTCGTAGATTGACGTATATACAGAAGTATTTTGTTGTTGCTGTGCGTGGCAGGATACCCAACCTTCTAATTAAAAAACCTGACAACATCCTAAGACGGGAGAATACAATTTACTATTTTCGGTATTCGTTGATACATTGAACTTATAATATTATATGGTGACATGAATGGTGGATTCTTGAAGATACATGTAACGTTATACGTGCCTGAGTGTGTAGTGTATACCATCGCTGGACCGTTATGTGCAAGCATGGCTACTTCGTTTGGAACGAGGGGATTAAAAACCCAGGAGAAAGCTGTAAGTGTAACGTTCCATTGCAAATGTCAAATGCCGTAACCCCATTAGTTTACATAGAAGCCTATTACTATGTCGTTTTCCAGCATCTGAAACTGAGATGTTAGTGTCATGAAAAGTAGAAACTAAATCTTGTTTCCGTGTGAAAGATATTATCTTTCGCCTACACCAGTTTGGACTGTTGATACCATAACATGCACCACAAATGTGCCGGCAGGCAGGGACTATAGCCACAACATTCTCCGGTTGCGGGCACACAACGAGGTTAACAAACACAAAACATTGTCCCTACCCGCTTCCACCGCTTCGACCTTTCGTTTCTCATGGCTTCCTTCAGAGTGATCTGTGCCTCTTCCTGGATTCGGAGTAGTTTCTGTTCGGCGGTAGGCATGTCTGTGGGCCCTTTCCTCGTGTCCTGACGTTAGTAGAACGGTTCATGATAAGGTGACTCCACAGGCTTGTGTTCTAAAGAGGTAGACTTATTCATAACTCCTCACGTCACCAGTGGCCATGGTAGTGGGTATACAAAGTCCTCCCCCTCCACAATAGGACCGAGTTACCCGATCCCACACGTTAGGTCGGGTTGCCGGTACGTTTCTTACGGTCCACTTGAAGTAAATGGCTCGTCGGACACCAATAGCCGGTACAGTGCGGAAGGTAATCGGGTTAACGGGCTTCACAGTGAGAAAGCTAACGAGATTTGAAGTTCCGTTAGTGCTCGGTGGCTAGCAACCTGCCTGATACCTGTCTTAACAACTGAAAGTCGTGTTTAGCCAGCAAACAGTGTAATCGTAGAGTCGATAGCCTTTCTGCGCTGTTTCTTTGTTACCGTGACAATGTTTGGTTGTTATTTGAACTGTAATCAAGCCTTTCACTGGTGAGTCAAAAGCCCCGATTGAAAGCAGCAAAGCCACCATGCGGGACCAGGAGGAAATGCATAGTCGCTGGTTCTTGGTTGTCAGATCGATTCGCTCGCCTCATATTTTGGCAACGCCTCAAGAACGGAGCCTATTGCATAGTACGTGATCAGTTTAAATATCTAAAAAATTCCGCGAATGCACCCCCTAATAACCTGCTATGGAATCTACGCAACAGGATTTCACACATCAAGACAGCAATTAACCAATGTCAAATCAAAGTTTTATTGCCCCAATTGTAACAGGTATAATGTAAGCCAAAGCACATTCCTGATTTTTCCACTGTACTGTACTACTGTCATGTTCACTGTTTTCACTGTCACTTCTATACCGTCAACTTATCATTACAGTTAATAAACAATTCCTGGACTTCCTTTTTCCCCGCACCTGTCGCCACTGTGAATATATGGTTCCATGAACATGTCCATTTTTCTCAGACCGTGAACTTTTGCTACCGTGAACATAAAGTGAATTACAGTAGCTAAGTACATGACTATAATCTACTTCATCTGGTAGATTTCCTCATCTAGTATATTTTGTTTGTTTTGCCTCCCCGAAATGTCTATTGCACTAGCTGGATGCCTTTGAATATATTCCTTAATTGTCGTCACACGTCGTTGTAACCCAGCAGTTCTTCCAGGTTTGTCGCCATCCTGCTTGTGTACAGGTCACCAGGGACTTCAGCAGATATGCCGCTGCTATGGCACAGAAGTAGCTCCCATACACAGTGTACTGCAGGGGGAGAAAAGGTTCATTATTTGGTTTTAAAAAACTTGCTGTTTGGGATTCTAGTATCATGCAAGATTGTATTCATCTACACTTATGATAATGCCACTAACTGCCACATACTGCCAAATTAAAAAAAAAACACTGTGCCTGTACAGGTGTGTTAGCTCTCATCTTACCTGTGCCTGTACAGGTGTGTTAGGTCTCATCTTACCTGTGCCTGTACAGGTGTGTTAGCTCTCATCTTACCTGTGCCTGTACAGGTGTGTTAGGTCTCATCTTACCTGTGCCTGTACAGGTGTGTTAGGTCTCATCTTACCTGTGCCTGTACAGGTGTGTTAGGTCTCATCTTATCTGTGCCTGTACAGGTGTGTTAGGTCTCATCTTACCTGTGCCTGTACAGGTGTGTTAGGTTTCATCTTACCTGTGCCTGTACAGGTGTGTTAGGTCTCATCTTACCTGTGCCTGTACAGGTGTGTTAGGTCTCATCTTACCTGTGCCTGTACAGGTGTGTTAGGTCTCATCTTACCTGTGCCTGTACAGATGTGTTAGCTCTCATCTTTTCTATCCTTGTACAGGTGTGTTAGGTCTCATCTCACCTGTCCTTGTACAGGTGTGTTAGGTCTCATCTTTTCTATCCTTGTACAGGTGTGTTAGGTCTCATCTTTTCTATCCTTGTACAGGTGTGTTAGGTCTAATCTAATCTTACCTGTGCCTGTACAGGTGTAGCGAGAACTCTCCTATCAACCACCACAGCTGTCAGCAGTGTCTGTAGTGCCAGGGCCACAAACGTGTTCACCCCAAACAGTAGTGCATACAGGGCTTTGTCCAGGCTCTTCGCAACTTCAAACCTGTTGGCAAAAAACACAGAAAGGAAAGTATTAGGTACTGAGATATTTGAAATAAAAGAGGTAGGAATGAAATTGACTGGAAAACCTCTGAAGGACAATGGAATCGGCCAAATCTAGCCCCACCCACGTTGCTATGGTGATGAGTGCCTGGTAGGCTGTTCTGTAGAACACGTAGCAGACGTAGCAGACCCAGATGCTGTCTGTGGTTGCCATGACGAACAGCAGCACGGCCATCCCCAGTGAGACGGACCCCAGCACCGCTTCTCCCACTACTGTCCAGTTCAACTTCACATGGCCCATCAGCAGGGACACAAGCGCACCTAGCAGAAAAAGATAGAGCTGCAGGTCATCAAGTATACATGCATTCCTCTTCAATCACATTAGTTTGATATGTAAATCACAGCTGTAGGATCCATATCCCATTGCAAATACTTGGGACATTTAAGAAGTGGTGGTGCCAAAATATGATGCCTAAAATATGAGTGTCTTTAAAAGCTGGAAAAACAGGTCTTGGTGAAACCTCAAAATGATTAGACTTTGGACCCCCTGGCAGCTTGTTATGGTACTGCAACAGCACTTTTGGTTTAGATATTTCATGCTCTAGACATGCTGGGGTCACAATTTTTTTATGGTATGTAGTTGTGTCATGCTCTGTGTATGTTTGGGTATACCCTAGCAGCTTGTTTATATTGTCCTAAACCTATAATATTGTACGAGGAAAATACTGTCTGCAGAGGTGTAAGTACTAGTAAGTACCTGCCAGCATTGCCGCAGCCTCCACAGCCCCGTTATACACACTGTGCTGACTGGAGGGGCTGATGATGTCCCACAGGTTCTGTACATAATTCCCCACCTGTAGAGGCACACACACCTGTGTAGCAACTTCTTATTTAAGTCTAATACATCTATTATAACTAGAGGTCCACAACCTAAACTCTGGCAAATACATCATGATGCAACCAATCATTTACCTCTTACAAATTTTCTCATAAATTACAAATAAACCTAGGTGACAATTTGCATAAATCATAACGGTCCTGTAGTGATGTTCTACAACAGTAATTGCTATTAGCTTTGCAAGTTTGAGTTTTGAAATAAATGTAAATCATTCAAAATGCATTTTGGTTTGTTATGTAGCAAAAATTTTATATGTTATATTGACATAGGTTTGAACACAGTTTTGGGGACTATGGAGAGAGGATGTCTCCCAGATGTCTTCTGAAGGTTGGTCTATAGTTTAATTTGTGTACTAACCTGGGAATTACCACACTTGGCAAATGCCCACCAGAGTGACCATGTCAGTAGGACCTCTGACCGGTAGGCCTCCCGCAGGCTCAGGCCAAGCTGCCGTAGTGTGGTCAGGCATTCCAACTGACCCCTGCACCGTGGACTTGTTTCAAAATCTGTTGTAAGGGCCTTTGGATGGCAATAGTCTGCAGTTCCCTTGTTGTCAGCTGTGTTATCATCTCTTACAGAGAGAATGACATCATCTTCACTACTCCTTGGTTTGTCTGGAGTTATCAGCTCTTCTGCGCCTCCATGCAGCTCTAATGAGCCATGACAACCATCTGTGATACCATGTTCATCTTGTCCTTCACAAGTCAGTCTTGAACCTTCCAAACTGCCCTTTTCAGTCTTAAGAAGTTCTTCATGGTTCTTCACATCCTTGTGAAAGAACAAACTCTTCCTCGCCGTGGGGAGGGTGAAGCCTAGGATAAACGCTATGCTGACACTTCCTAGAGAAAAACAGTTCAACGCAAAATAATCAACGAGGTTTGCGGAGATCAGCACTTGGGCAGTTACTGCTGCTGCAAACCTACCCACTAAGACGACGCTCCGGTTATAACCGGTCACTCTGCGGTATCTGTCCCGAGGTACGACAGAGTAGATGTAGGAGTAATATCCGATCTCCGCGGCGGTGGACAGACCGTAGGTGACCTGCATGACCTGCATCATGGCGACCCCGTGTCCCCACAACAGGAGAACCCACGTCAGGATGAGAGTGAAACCCTCGAATATGATGACCGGCTTGTATCGTACGTAGTCCGTCAGGAGGAAGATGACCAGTAAGGTGGGGAAATACGTGTACGTCCACACCGGGTAGATCTCATTGGTCACCTGCTCCTCTGTTAAGTTCTTCGTCGGCCCCTTAAGGTAAGGGGTCAAGAACGGCTCTGATGGCCGCAGTTCCTTAAAGAAGCCAAACAGGCAAATAAGTAGTGTTGCTCTCTCCATACTGGTGGCCTTTCACAGATGCAAACTCAGGGATTTGATAGTTCTGTAAGACATGAAACAATTTGGTGTCAATGGAAGTCTATATTACCCTGTGGTCCAAAATAGTATTGTGTCACAACTGTACACAGTAGTTGTTGATCCCAAACGTTGCACCCATATGATGCAATCACTATATAGATAGTAGATTTAGAATGGTTCACCTTCTTCTTTCAAGTTTCTTGCATATGATTGCATCATATATGATCATGTATATTATAAAGATAACACTTGGTGTATTGTCGAAAGTGTTATTATGTATGATGGGACCAAAAAAATCTACGAAATTATAAAGCAAGTCCTTGAAATAAGGGAATTGGAGATAGCAAAACCGTATCTACATCGTTGCCCTCCCTCTACAGCCACTATTCTAGGTATTACTTTATACTTAGCAGCTCACGATTTTATGCTCCTTCAGTTGGTATATCCTTGGTAATACATACGCCACCCATACCCCACACTCATTGTGGACTTAATCTAATATTTGTAGACCTACTTTGTAAGGTACAAAGTCCGGTAAGGCAGGGTCAGGGTCATTAAATACTGCATACTGTAGCGAAACCAAGTCCAAGTCGCAGGATAAATATGCAGGTCATAGGGCGATGGACTAGTCTATTCTGATATGGGGGCTTAGTATATCCTCAACACAGAAAGTTCCGAGACTTACATATAATTCTGAGAGAACCCTGAGATTGTCAAATATCTTGAGATTCTTTTAAAGAATCTTCAGATGTTTTGAGATCACGAGATTCCTTCAAAAACCTTTCCAGAACATCTTTTCTTTATTTTCAACGATGCGTGACGACTCCCGCTGGGGGTTATATGTACGGTAACAGTTTTCCACATCATTATACCAGCTATGTAAGACATGTAAGTATAACCTGAAAACAGTCAGAGAAGCCTTTGTCCAAAGTGCTCTGGATTGTGCAAATTTAATCTGGACACTGTTATGAGCTGAGCTGAGATATTAAACCTGCTTGCCTTTGAATAAATTGAATAAATAAATGAATTGGATTGAAAACATTCATCATGAATGGCTCCATGCATCTGAAGTATATTACTTTCCTGGTACAAACGTGTCCTCTGTACTGTTCTTAGAAGAGATCTTTGATTAACACGTGCACCAGCATTCATTGATCCATCTGCATGCCAAGGGAGACGAGGGCCAGCAAAATTTTTGCCGTCGATTACGAATTACGTTAAAGGTTCGGAGCTGATTACTAGTATGACTTTACGCTTTGCGGCTCGCTAATGTACTATTACGAATTACGTTGATTTTTGTGGAGGCTGCCTAACATACAAATTACGATCGCGAAGACTAAAAAGGCATGATTACGCCTTACTCGGAAGAAGGGCATGCAGGCCCCCTCAGTTAAGGCCCCGGGGATATGACTCAGGAATCGATCTATTGGAATAATCACCGGTAAGTTCTTACATAGTCCGTTGTAACACACACAGTGTGTTTTTAACTACCATTATACTTTTTCCCAAATGCTGAGTGCTATTATTAAAGCAGATAGAGAAAGCAGCATGTACCTTTTCAAGTCTTAAACTTTGGTATGACTCGGTCGGCGATCACCCTACTACTTGACCATTGTACGCAAGGCCGGTCTGTTGCACCTGTAAGCCTGTCCATAAAAGGCGAGAGGTGTATTGTCCAGTTCCGGGAAATCCCCCGTCCAGTGGCGGGAACTGTCCGCCATGACAACCTGGCATGACCGCCGATAGGTAAGTCGCCTCCAAAAGTCGCCGGGTAGATCACTGCAGTAGTTTCAGAAGGACAACTTTCTTGTAACGTTACATGTTAGTTACTATCATTACAGCTCGAACGTACACGAACAATTATGGCACTGCTCTCTTTTGATACAAAACCCGTGATCATGTGAATGCCTTAGGCTGACTGTCTCGGCGTCCGAATAACGCTACATGTGTTACAACAGTACTTTAAAGTCAAAATAGACCAATCGATTTGTACTCACGGGTCTCTCGAAAACAGAGATTACGGAATAAGAACAAATCGTGTGTCGAGGAAAGGTTTGGTGGTCAAGGTGATTATAAATTGGGTGGGAGGGGGGCACCCGTAGTGAGGCCAGGATTTAACGTTAATTCCTAAACCGGTTCTAACGAAAAATCACAATTGAGTACCCAAGTACATTATCAGTAAGGTAAGGATATACCTGCACAGTATTGGGAACGTTTCAGTGAAACGGGCGAAACCGGGCCAGATAAGAGTAAGGTCCGCACCTAAAGTTTATGAAAGATTGAGACCGTGAGTTTTACACTTACATTGAGCAAGAAGACGGGGCATGGGGAAAAACACAGGTGCATGTTTTAACACCCATTGAACGGGGAACTTGTACACTGGATCTGCCGTGTCGACGTCGGAGACTGCATACGGAGATATGATAATACATGTAGTTCGCCCATATACCTGTGTACGTGCTGCCTTTGTAAAGCCTGCTATTGATATCATGTTTCCCTAACCTTAAGTAAATAGACTCTAAGTGACCCCTGTGCAGGAGCAAGGTGCACAGTGGTAGGAACAAGGAACCGGGGAGAGTTTTTGGGGGACCTGTCAGTGAAGGAGATATGGTCGTCAACAGTTACAACTGGTGCAAATTATTTTTTGTCGATTTTCCTCCTTCTATGGTTGCATTTTGTGACGATGCCCCTACTACATAACAGCGTTTTTACTCACTTTTTTTGCCTCCCATTAATCTAAATGGTTCGTCCCAAAGAATGGTATGTGTATGGGTGGGCGACTGGGTAAGAAGGTTGACGCTAGGACGAACCCGGTACGTGACAACATGCCCTTACAGCGTCATACCTCAATGACTTGAAATCAACTCTTGTTTATACTTGCTCAACCAGGACAGAAGGAAGACCACTGTGCTCTTGCTGTGTTGGAGTCCAAGCTGGTTTCGTACTACCTGTTCCGTCTGCACTTACAACCCGCCATAAATCGGTGGGCGTCGCTGCTAGCTGAAGACGCAGGCGTGGCAATGGCGGAGCCTGACACAGGCTTGACCTCTGCACACCGGCACCCTGGTAGGGCGGAGGCACCACAGAGGAGACAGTCATACAATTTTAGTGACAACTTCAACGTGTTAAGTTACGGCACCTACCGCAAAATTGCCCTGATGCTGGGGGACGAGAGAACAGTGGAAAACTGGACCGGGCTTGCCCACAGACTTGGCTCCGGCACTATGGACGACATTTCAAACTTCCGGGTTCAAGCCCAAGCATTGAATGAAGTTCCGGCTATGTTGCTACTTGAAGAATGGAGTAGAAAACCAGGGGCTACAATCCAAGTCATCGTGGACGCCTTGACAGAAATGGAGAGACCAGACGTCTTGAAGATTGTAGAAGACGCGATGGAAGGTATGTCCCGTTTAGCAAGTACTACCAAGGATTGGGCAAGGTCAGGGGTGGGAAAGAATTCATACGAATTTTACGGAATACATACGAATTTTACGGAATTCATACGAATTTTACGGAATACATACGATCCACTACTCGGAAACATACGAATTTTACGGAATACATACGATCCATTACCAGAAACATACGATCCTTACTAATATTTGGTGACCTGCGCCTGGATCACGTGACCTCCGCGGCAAATTCAAGATGTCGGACTCTACTCTAGCGAAGGATTGTGTATTTTCATTTCTTCATAAAATATCTTGGTTTTTAAGGACTTCAAGGGCTTATCCCGTCCTGCTAAACACCAGGAACCTCAACCTGCACTTATGTGGGCTTTCTTGGCGACATTTTAGTCTGTATTTTAAGCCAAATAGCAGGGCGAGACTGAGACTCGGTGATACAGGCGCCGGTCACCAAATTAGTAAGGATCGTATGTTTCCGTGTAATGGATCGTATGTATTCCGTAAGGATCGTATGTTTCTGGTAATGGATCGTATGTATTCCGTAAAATTCGTATGTTTTCGAGTAGTGGATCGTATGTATCCCGTAAAATTCGTATGAATTCTGTAAAATTCGTATGTATTCCGTAAAATTCGTATGAATTCTTTCCCACCCCTGAAGGTGGTTTTTACTACCAAGAATTAGGCAAGGTGGTTTTTACTACCAGGAATTGGGCAACGTGGTTTTCATGACGTCAAGTTGAATAAGAAGCTAGCTACAATACGTATTTGTTCTTCTCGGTCCTTGAAGAAGCAAGGTAATGAAGCCACTGGACTTTTGGCACGTGTTCCCTTGGCTAATGAA